CGTGCTGGGAGTACTGGTGTGCTCTACCATGCCTGGCTTTAGACTTTATTTTTAAGTGAGAAATGAAACATGTTTTGTAGCATTGGCTGAACAGTACCAACTATATAAGGAAGAAGTTTACTTCTACCTATTCTGGCCAGCTTTAGTAATTTGGTGTATATATTTCTACATATAAGAAAGTTGAAGGCTAGGGGTCTGACTCAGTGGTCAAAGCACTTTGCTTACCATATGAGAGGCCTGGATTCATTCCTAGCACCACAAAAGGACAAATGGTTTTATTAAAATGAAATTTTAATATTTTTTTTACATAATGCTCTTCCTATATTGTGTATGTACTTTTGAAAGTCAGTACAGAGATGCATAGAGTAGATGCTTAAGGGTCATAATATGTTGCTATTAACATTGTTTTATAAATGTACATTTAAAGTTAATCCTAGTTTTATGAGTATAAAGTACACTGCAGAAATTATCTTTACACATTTGTCTTTATGTGTCAGTGCTTTTACTTCTGAGAGAAATTCCTGAGAGTTACACAACTTGGTCAGAGGCTATGTATGTATATTTTTTTCTTCTGGTGGTGTAGGGTTTGAACTTAGGTCCTCATGCTTGCCAGGCAGGCACTCTACCACTTGAGCCACTCTGTTGGCCCTTTTTTGTGTTGAGTATTTTTGAGTTAGGATCTTGGGAACTATTTGCCCTTGGCTGGCTTCGAATCCTCCTGGTCCTTGCCTCCTGAGTAGCTAGGATTACAGGTGTGAGCCACCTGTGCCCGGTCTATGTATTTTTTAAAAACTTTTATTTGAAGTATAACTTAAATTCAAGAAAAGTATGCAGAGCTGGGTGCTGGTGGCTCATTCCTGTAATCCTAGCTACTCAGGAGGCAGAAATCAGGAGGATCGTGGTACGAAGCCAGCCCAGGCAATTATTTCTGCAAGACCCTGTCTCAAAAAACCCTTCACAAAAACAGGGCTGGTGGAGTGGCTTAAGGTGAAGGCCCTGAATTCAAACCCCAGTACTGAAAAAAAAAGAAACAAGTATACAAACATATGTCTTGGTAAGTCTCACAGAATTAACACATTGAGTACCTGCATCAAGAAATAGAACATTGCCAGAACCCCAGAAGTTCTGTTCATAGCTTTTACCAGTCACTACCTCTGTTTCCAAAGATGATAAAACATTTTTTAAAAGATAGTACCCTTAGTTTTTGATTTGTCTTGTGTGTCTTTCTGAAAATGGGCTTGTATAGTATTGTGCTGGATTCATCATCTATGTGCATATTAAAAACATCTAGTCCAAGCAAAATCATAAGATATACATTTATTAGTTTATTCTAATGCTAATAAAGACAAAATGTAGAGTTCCTTTTAAGAAAGGACTTGGAGTGAAGATTCAGTAATGTCATAGCTGAATGATTGGGAATGATTTATATTTATTTATTTTTATTGTACTGAGTAGAGGTACATTATGGTTTTTGTAAAAGTTCTTACAATATGTCAAATATATCATACTTGAATTCACCCCCTCTACCATTCTTCTTTATCTCCCCCCACCCCAAATTCCTGGAATAGTTTCAACAGGTCTCATTTTTCTATGTGTACACAGTATTTGTACTATATTCACCCTCCTACACCCTTTCCCCACCTCCTCTGGGTAGTGATTTAAATGTCCTTACCTCCTTTAGTGACACCATAATGAGGGGCATTTGGTGGTAAAGCAGTGTCCTCAAAGGAGAGGTTTTTCGTTTTTGATTTTTTTTTTCAGTGTAGTTGTATTTTGCATAAGGCAAAATTCACTCTTCTTTGGTGAATTTTGCTATGAGAACACATTCATGTAGCTAGTATCACATTCAAGATAAAGGCTAGTTTCATGTTCTCAAAACTCTCCTTTTGTTTCCTTTATACCCTTCCACTGGCAGCCCCTAGTGACTGACCAGTGGTCTGTGTTCTGTCCCTTCGGTTTTGTCTTTGAGGGGGGGATTTTAAAAGATCTGAGAGAAATGATTGGTAGGAAGCAGCATTGACAGAAAGTTTAAGAACATAGCAAGTAGAAGCCCTCTTTAGAAGTTATCAAAGCAGTATTCCAAAAGAAGCCAAGTTTCAGTTAAAGGAGGGGAGTGGGCCAGGAGAGCTCTCAGGTGAGTAAGTTATGTTGAAGGTGTGGAGCTGGGGGAATGTTTATGTTAACAGGATTCCAGAGAGTGCAGCAGACAAATGTGGTGGGAAGGATGGTAAAGGACGCCAACAGCATGACTTCCCTCCTGTGTTTAACAAGGATATCACCTCCTGTCCCACCACCTCTGTTTTTTTTTGGTGATAATACCACACTAATTTTTCTGTTACCTCTTTTATCACATTTTCTCAGTGCCTTTAATTATTTTCTTCTGTTTGTTTCACAAGTATTTCCTGAATTTTCTATGCTGGCTTCTCTTTTTACTCCACATTAATTCATTTCATCTGCTCATCCTAAACTTGTGCTCCCTCCCTAATTTTTATCTCTAGCCTAAACTTGAGAAATATTTTTCCTGGCAAATAAAAAATTCCTAAATAACTATTTTAAAAACAATTTGTGACAGTTAATTTTATGTGTTTATTTTAGCTTGGGATAAGGGATACCCAGATTACTGGTAAAACATAATTTCTTGGTGTGTCTGTGAGGGTGTTCTGGAAAAGATAAGACAATTGAATCTATAGACTGGATAAAGAAGATCCCCCTCCACTGATATAGGAAGATACCAAACCCAGTCTCTTGAGGGCCTTAATAAAACAAAAAGGCAAAGGAACAACAAGTTTATTCTTTGCTTGAGCTGGGTCATCATCATCTCCTGCCCTTAGAGAAAGCCCTTGCACAGGCCTTTGGACTCAGTCTGGGACTTTACATCAGAAGGTCACTCACACCTTCCACATTCATATAGCAGATTAAGAGATTTTTCAGTCTCCATAATTGAGTAAGCCAATATCTCATAGTAAATCTCTACGTATCCTACTGGGTACGTGTCCTACTATATGTCGTATTGGTTCTGATTCTCTGGAGAACCCTAACTGATGTAGTGTACATTTCTTAAAAAGTGAGTAAAACTTGGACACAGATGTTTATAGCTTTTTTTTTTCATAATTATCAACACTCAGAAGCCACCAGGATGTCCTTCAGTAGGTGAATGGATAAATGTGGCACATCCAGACAATGGAATGACCATTACTCCACACAAAAGAACCAATCATGAAAAGATGTGGAGGAACCATAAGTGCATTTTACTTGGTGAAAGATGGCATTCTGAAAAGGCTACATGTTATATTATTCCAACAGTACGACATTCTGGAAAAGGCAGAATTGGGGAGACAAAAGATCAGTGAATATAAAGGATATTAGCTTAAAATTTGTGCACTATTCTGGGGAGTTAATAACTCAAAAAAATGATAGGTTTTCAAACTTCACAAAATCATCCTTATGCCTTTTCTAGTTTTTGTTCAGTTGTTTGCATTTTTTTCTTTTTTTTGTAAACATTTTCATTGGGGCCTAGGGCATGGGATGGGAAATGTCATGTTAGGAATGCCCCTCTACCCAGGGAATGTCCATTCTAATCCTCCTGGGATATTTTTTGGAAATTTTTCTTTTCCTTGGCGCTGCTCTTTCTGCTAGTAGCCTCTTTAGGCCCACTGGTCACAGGTTCCTCCTTAGAAGAGAATTTCCTCTTTTTCTTGGGGACACTCCTGCTGACTGCCTCCTCAGGTTCACTAGCTATCTTCTCTGTGTCATTTCCATATTTGAAGTTATTTTTCTCTCTCCTCTTTTTATTCCCATTGATTTAAAGTATACTGCTCTGTTTAGCTGGGGTTTTTTGTTTGGTTTTGATTTTTATGTAACATCTGAATTCCTGTTCTATGGTGGAATTAATTTCTTCCTGATATTTGGTAGCATGCAAATCCAACTTGCTATTAATGCAGATAGCTTTCTCAGCCTCCTTTTTGCTAAGACACATGAGTTTTAGACTTGGCCAAGCAAATGCACTGGTGGACAGCAACTCAGAAACTGCTGACACAGAAAAGGAAGAATTGCATGGACTCTTCTGTTAGTATGGCAGTAGCAGCAGGTGCAATGGTGTCTTCCCAGGACCAATTCTACTACAATTTTTGACATCTTTTCCTGGCAGTATGTGCTATAAATGAGGTTCTCTGAATATTATCTACCAGATACTTTTTCATTAAAAGAAAAGGAAATTTTCCAGCCCTTTGCATGGCCTTCTGCGGACTGCCTCTGGGGAAGAACTAGGGGCCTTGCTGGCACCCAAGCTTGGTTGCAGGCAGTGGCCTCCAGTCCTTGCAGCTATGTCACGTGACGCTGCCTTGGTATCATGCCTGTGGCTACTGTGGGGAAGAAGCCATGATGGGCACTGAAGGTCACAACGTCTGTATTGTGATTGACTCCCACTCACCCCAAGTTTTGCATCTCAGCATTTGGTTTAGCTGTGACACAGGGTCTACTCCAGCTGACTTTTGTTAGTATTATAGCATGGAATATCCTACACCTTGTTCTTAATAGTAATTCATTTCTGTGTTCAAATGCAGACGTATGTTCTTCTGCCGTCTGCAATGAGCGTCTGCTGGGTTGGAGCTGTGAGGAGCAGACCCTGAGGTCCTGGTACTGTCCTGAGCTCTCTCCAAATGTCTGGCACATTGTTCATTCAAGTGCTTCTGGGAGAAACCGCTCCTTATGCTCCATGCTCCCAACTTTAGTTTTTTAGAGAGTGCTTTTAACCCTTGAAAGCAATCCATCTTGTTTTGTGTATAAGAACTTTTTTTAAATGAATAAATCAGGCATTACCCACACACACACACACAAAATCTTGTACTATTACAGTTAATTTTAAGCAAGCTGATAACGAGCAAATTTTGTTTTAATTTAAACATAAAGTTTTAAAATGCTTTAGGCTTACTTTGTGAGGCGTTGCAGACAGAAAGATTTAAATAATTATTTCACTTTAGTATTTGCATTAAAATTTTTAGTGCGCTTTATGGACATGTACTGCTATGTATGCCTGAAGTACCTGAAATGCAAATTTGGGAAGACTTTGGCATCTAAATGCTTGGCTGGATTAAACGCCTGATGAGGATGGTTTTACAACAAGTTGGAGTAAGCATGCAATCGGTGAGTGCTCAGAATTCATTTTTAAAATGCAGACATTTAGACAGTTTAATAATTTTTCTGAGAAATGAGGTAAATCTCTATATGAATTCTATGTATGATTTCAATGTTTATGTGCTATTTAATTTGCTCACTCACAGAAGTGAATCTTTTTCCAGCATCCTAAGTAAGAGAATAACTTTCTTGGGTATGTTGAAAACTTATTAATGTATTCATATGACCATAAGTAAGCAATTGATTGCAGGGTATGGTGGTTCAGGTCTGGAGTCTCAGCTACTTGGCAGATGGAGATGGGGAGGACTGAGGTGTGAGGCCAACCTGGGTAAAACATTAGTGAGACCCCATCTTCATCATGGTGACTCACAGTTATGATCCAGGTACGAATGAGGCTATAGGTAGGAGGTCAGTCCCAGACAAAAATATGAGAACCTACCTGAAAAATAACTAAAGCAAAAAAGGGCCAGAGGCATGGTTCATTTGGTAGAGTACCTGCATAACAAATGCAAGGCCCTGAGTTCAAACCCCAGTACTACCCCACAAAAAAAATGCATTTATGAGTGAAAAAAAGGTTATATATAGAAATCGTTGAATAAAATGTTTGACTCATACTTCATAACTTAGAATGCTGTAGAATTATTAATATTGAATGCTACTATAATGTGGCTTATCGGACAGTTTAAGGTAAGTCTATAGCAAGTATAGATAAGAAGAGAAAGAATTTTGTATATTGTGATCATTCTGTGCTAGAGGTATTAGTTTTGCTCTTCACATTCTTATATTTTCTACCATTATGTAAATTTTGAGATCCACTATAAAGTTATTATAACAATTGCACCAAGCGTGTTTAGTAGAATACTTGTTTTTCATTTTCAAATTCAGTGTTTTGGTGTCTATGACATGTGGTTAAGTTTTATTAAAGATACAGATGGGTTACATTATTTGAATTTGGGTATTGTGTTTAGCGTATTACCTTCACCTTTTAAATTATTTTGAACTTTGAACCTAACTTCCCAAGGTTATTTGGAGATGAAAGGTGTAGTACCACCTAAGATTACCTTTGTTTATAGCTGCATAGTTTTGAAAACATTAATTTAAGGATAAGCAATAAGAAAATAACTTACTGATATTTCATCTTTTTCAGATACGTTCATATGTTTTGAACTTCACTTGATGCAACTTATACTACCTTTTCCATTTATTTACCACTACTTGGCTACATAGAGTGTAGATTAACATTTTAGTATTCTAGCAAAAGAAGTTCCTACTCCCCCATGCTGGGGTTTGAACTCAGGACCTTATACTTGCTAAATAGTGTCTCTACCACTTGAGCTATTCTCCTAGCCCTTTGATTTAGTTATTTTTCAGGTAGGGTCTATTGCTTTTGCCCGGAGCCAGCTGAGGACCTCGATCTTCCTATGGTTTCCCACATAGGTGGGATTGCAACTGTGTACCACCATGCCAGGTTTATTCCTTGAGATGGAGTCTTGCTTTTTGCCAAGGGTTAGCCTTGAGCCAATATCCTCCCAACCTCTGCCTCCCAAGTAGCTGAGATTATAGACTTGAACCACCATACCTGGCTTGAAAGAATTTATTTTCCTCTTGCTTCTAGAAAGAAAGGCAGCTTCTCTTATTTTTGATTCTCCCCCCAAAGCAGGGTTTTACAGTTACTGTTTGTTTTTGTAGTACTAGGGATTGAACCCAAGGTCTTGTGCTTGCTAGACAATCACTGTACCACTTGAGCTATGCCCCAGCCCAATTTCTAGTTATAATTTTAGTAAGAAGTATAGTTCAGTGGCAAGGTTGTGGGGTCTGGATTTAAACAAATCTGGACCTGAAATTTGTGTCTGCCAGTTGCTTTCTTCATCTACAAAATAGGGGTAAGAAGAATTGCTACTGCCATTAATCAGGGGATTAAATGACATGGATGTAAAGCATCCACTAGTACAGTGGCTTGTATATAGTGTAGATGTATTCAGTAATGGTTGATTTCCTTTGTTCTTACTCTGTCCCCTGCCTCTCCACCCCTACTTAGGCTAATGTGACTAGTGTTAATTAGGGTTTGGTACAGAAGTCTGTCAGGCACAGGTGACATATTTTATTTGGCTTTATTAATTTTAATTTGTAAAATGAACCATCTCAAAATACTGTAATCAAAACTAAGGGTCTTTTTTTTTTTTTGGTGGTGGCACTGGGGTTTGAACTCAGGACTTTGCACTTGCATAATAGGTCCTTTGCTGCTTGAGTGGTCCATTTTGCTCTGGTTATTTTGGAAATGGGGTCTTGCGAGCTATTGCCCAAGCTCGCCTTGAACCAAGATCCTCCTGATTTCAGCCTCCCAAGTACCAAGGATTGCAGTCATGAGCCACCAGTACCTGCTTGGAACTTTTTCTTTTTTAATTTTTTTTTAAATGTAGTAAGGCTAACATATAATCATCAACTGTAATGAATTTGCTGAAAAGCTATATAAACCAAGTTTTCTTCTAACAAAGCAATTCGATATTTTGGACGTGTTTTTGTTTTGTTTTTTTAATTTCTTTTTTAGCCTGCTGCCTAAGAGTAAAATACAGAGGTGTGTTGGGCAATGGTGGCTCACATCTGTAATCCTAGTCTACCAAGTTTCTACTTTTGGGCATCTATAAATATAAGAAGCTTCCTCATCTGTACCTTTCAATGGTTAACATGTATTTTCTTAAGGTAGAGCTGTGATATGAACCAGTTCTGATTCCACAATCTTTCTCCTTTCTTTCTTTGGTACTTCTTATAATAGAAGGGGAGGAAGAGAAACATATAGCCAGGTGTGATGGTACATACCTATAATCCTATCTCCTCGGGAGGCAGAAGCAAGAGGATTACGAGTTTGAGGTCAGAAGGTAGCAAGAGGCCCTGTCTCAAAAACAAAAGGTCTGGGAGTGTAGCTCAAGTGGGAGAGCTCTTGCCTAGTATTTGGAAAGCTCTGGGTTCAATCTGCCAAAAAAAAAAAAAAAAAAAAGACATAAATACCTTAACTCATTTAATACTCATAGGCACATGAAATATATTGTCCTCATTTTATAGATGAGAAAGTGGAAGCACCAAGGGTCAATAATTTGATCAGCTTTATACAGGTAATAAATTGGTAGTCTCTTCCAAGACTTTATGTTGGCATGGCCTGTTGTCTTCACTGCCTTCTATTTTTGCCTCAGCATTTATTTGAATTTAAAACATATTCACATATGTTGCAACCTTTTTCTCAATCTATACTTCTGTTTATGTCCCTAAGCAAAAATATTTTATTACTTATTTAGTTCATATTTTTTTGAGAAAGTGTCTCACTGTGTAGCTCAGGCTGGACTCAAATTCACAATCCTCCTGCCCAGCCTCCTTGAGTATTAGGTTACAGGCATCTACCACCATGCAGCTTAGCAAAAATATTTTAAACTAGAGAAGCAAGGCTGTGCGCTGGTGACTCATGCCTATAATCCTAGCTACTTAGGAGGCAGAGATAGGAGGATCTCAGTTTGAAGCCAGCCCAGGCAAATAGTTCACGAGACACAAAAAAAAGGCTAGTGGAGTGGCTCAGGTGCTAGAGCACCTGCCTAGCAAGCATGAAGCCCTGAGTTCAAACCCAGTACCACACACACATAAAAAAAAAAACAAAACCCCAAAACAAAAAAACATAGAGAAGTAAGAATAGGGTGAGGCTAAAGTGATTGTTAGTAATGTCAGTATTTTATGTTGGAAAAGAAGTTATTGCAAACATCTAATTTGTATTAGAGTAGTAAGAATTATTTTGTTTACCGTTTTTTTTATTTTGGGAGGGGAATTGAAATTGTTACAGTTTCATCTCTCTACTCTTCCACCTCCCTAACATATACTTTTTTCTTTCCTTGTCTCTTTTGGAATTAAAAAGAATCCATACTTTGTTGGATCATAGATTTATTATGGTTTGTCTTTAGAAAAAAATTACTTAAATTTATAGTTTCTCTCAAGTAATAATATAGATTAAACTAATTTATAACAAATGAATTATCACATAGAACTTGATGTAGTTATCATGGATGAGACAGACGACAGCTTCAAATACTAGCCTCACACATCAACACTTCTACAATAGCATTTCACAATGTTAAAACAGAACAAATTGCATTCTGTTGTCATCTCCTTCTTGCTGTCATCTCTTTCAAACACCGATACTAAATGTTATGGACTGTCATTACTAGATACAGACATGCACACACACCCAGACTCATTAGATTATTTATAAGCAAGTTTTGTACAGTTTTTCTGTTATTTCAGAAGTGAATTGAGTTGTCTTATTTCTTAATTATATCAAATTATCTAGTTAATGACAGTTTTCTGCTTGCTTTTTCTCTTACATCTGAAAAAATATTGACAGTTTATCTTTGGAGTCAGTTTGCCCTTCTCCAAAACAATATACTGACAAGGCATAGTTCAGCCACAAGTTAGGGTAAGAGATGCACTTGGGTCATGCAGCCTCCCAGTGCACAGATGGTGACTTTTCAGTACCATCTGTTCACTGTTTCTTCACAGCCATTTACAATTTTTCCCCGACTATCAGGGCTCAATGGAAAAAAGTATCAAGACCTAGTTTTAGAGTTCCTGGAAGTAAACTGCTGTCTTCCTCACTGTTTCCTACCATCCAATAAAGATAGCTCTTCTTTCTAAATATTCTAGTCATTATTACACGGACCCTTGCTTCAGATTTCTTGGTGCTAAGGTCTGCAATTCATAAGTAACAAGAAAATAACATCATGTTAGTCTACTGTGTATGCTTGAAAACATAATCACATAAAGCAATGTTCTTTTTCTCCCATTAACTTTGCAGGCACAACCTAATGGTTTACTTATTCCTTATGATTAAAAACTGAATCATTGGCCACTTCTCTTATAGAAGGCACCTGGTATTCTTTCCTCCTCATATTAAACAGATGTAAAGATAACAGTGGAAACTTAGCCCTGCAGCATAGTTAGGAATGCTAAAAGCTGGCAGAAACATTAGTTCCTGACCTTGGCAAATCCTTTCTAAGTTTTTCTTTGTGAGCAAGAAAAAAGGGAAGATCTTTGTTTGCTGGAGAGGAAAGAGATTCACTTTAGACTATGTAATTGTCACATTGTGATGTACAAGTAGCATTCTATTTCTACATCATAGGAGAGTTTTGACTGGTGACTAGAAGACTTAGAGAAATGACTGAATGGTGTAGTTTAACCACTGTCCTATGGATTTATTTTTAAAAAATCAAGATCTGTTAAAATGTACAAGGTAAAAAGCTTGCTTAAATATTGTGTATTTTAGAATTACTTGCTGGGGAGGTCTCTTATGTTGATTGTGCACAACTGTGAGGCTTCCCGTTTTCCTGTAGCCAGTTTTTCTCAGTCCTCATGCTACTAAGACTATGAAAATATCCTCTGTATGATCATTGGTGTGAAAGACGTTTTGCTTTAAGCTTCAGTATAACTTTGTGTCTTAAATTCTTCGCATAACATTCATATTTTAATATTGACATCTTCCTGTCTTTCTGCTGACTAGTTTTATAATCTGTGCCATCCTTTTTATTTATATTTTCAATGGAAGAATGACAGTTTTTGTTGGTTAGCATAGTCAGTGTAGATTATCATAGATGATTGTACTTTCTGGAACTCTCCAAAGTAAGTCAGTGAAACCTTAAACATATATAATAAAAATTATATGAAAACTGAGGCAGATGTCAGGAGTATTATATAGGCCTCATGAACCTCATTTTGACTCATAGTGTATCACTATCCCTAAATTGATTTGATTGCTAAAATTTAAGAAATCAGATTTTGGGGCTGGTGGAGTGGCTCAAGTGGTAGAGCGCCTGCCTGGCAAGTGTGAAGCCCTGAGTTCAAATGCGAGCACCCCTCCCAAACCCCCCAAAAAAGCCAGATTGCTTCTGTGCTCATTTTTTATATTGTACATGCTTTTAGAGTGGTCTGAGATGTTGTTTGGGTTAAATATTGGGGCTACCAGTTGCTTGGTTATATTGTTTATGTTAGGGTAATTTTCATTCTTTAAATTAGTGGACTGTCGATTGTTTAGAATCCAGCTGATTTGGTATTAGTCTTTAGATATAATTGAATGTTAAAGTTTGATGAATTAAGTATAGCAGTCATGTTATGCTCATTCTTTTCTTCTAAAATTGCTTTTAAGCATACTACTTTTCTTTACCTCTTCTGTCCAGGCTTTCATTTGTAGCACTCAAAACAGATGGATAGTTTTTAAGGAAAGATCATGTACTGGGGGAGAAGTTTCAAGGTACAATTTGTAACAATTTAACATTATACATGTGTGGGGTTTTTTTTGTTTGCTTTTTGCTTTGAGGGTTTTTTGTTTTTGCTTTAAGCATAGCATAACTCCAATGTGATTTATTTTACTGGAGAAATTCTCCTTACTATGGCCACTACTAGCTCATTTAACACCTTTATGCAAATTAAAGACAAGGCCACCCAAGTAAATGCAGTGCATGTGAGTGGTGGTACTGGATTTCAGCCCTTGCTCATCCTTGGCCAGGCTCTCTTGTGTAGCAATGACATGCATGGCACAAATGCACACTCTCAACTTTGCACTAATTTGAGTTTATTTTGAAAAGTTATAGCAAGAAAAGTTCATATTTTTAAAATTTATTAACGTTTTAAAACTAAAAATATTACAGAAGAGATAAAATAGTGTTTCCTTTGCAGAATAGTTCAGAAAACCTGATGAAAATAAAGTGTTTACTTGTATTATTTAAACATCACTATTTATTATTCTATATTTTTATATAATATCTTACATGGAACTTTATTGCCTTAATAATATCTAGCCACATATATATTCTTTAATTTTGAATTGAGAAATACTAGCTTATTTCCTATAACATTTAGAGCATTCTGATACTGTAATTAATGTGTTAGCATGTCATGCAGTTAATAGCCCAGTGCTTTGTATTAACAGTTCTTAGAAGTCTTATAATTAAACTTCTGTTTTTTTCTGCTTCCTCAGGTACTTTGGTCTGGAAAGCCATATGGTTCATCTCGAAGTATTGTAAGGAAAATTGGTACTAACTTATCTCTGATTCAATGTCCAAGAGTTCAATTTCAGGTACTATGTTTTATATATTTCAGATTTTAGTAGCAGATGGTTTAGAAGTACTTTGTTTTGTGAACCTTTTCACCTATTGATGCCACTACCAATAAAAGAGGATTAGCAACCAAAGTAAAGTCTTTCTAATTTTAGTTCTTCTGTGACGTGATTATCCAAGATCCTTAAGACATTTATCCTTTGTAAAAATACATATGTGAAGATTGAGAAGTGTATGATAAGCTAAGCAATTGTTAATTCCCAGGTGTCCTCAACAATAGGCCTTCAGGTGATTTAAGATATCACTATTGTTTTCTTTAGTGTTACACCTTCTTCTTTGCATAGCCACTTGGTTTTCCCCTAATTTGCTGTTAGATGTCTCTGTAGATGCCATAAAGTTGCTTTCTTCCATTATTGGTTTCAAATTCAGCATTAAATGAAGGACCCATTACTTTGGCAATGGCAGTATCAAAACCAGGAGAGGTAATTATAGTTCTCTGAATATGGTGCGAGTCTGACCCTGAATTAGGAGTACTTTTGAATGCTCAGGTCTTAGTAGTCTTTTCTAGCACTAAATCAGAAGAAACTCTACTCTTTGCTTAGAGATAATTACTATTTTATTTGTGCTTTTGTTCCTCGTTGTTACAGTATTAGATGTATACCATATAGCTTTGTTCTTATTTTTCAGTAATTCTCTATGACAATAATATGAAAAAAACCTTTCAATTCAACATTTCAACAAATCTCTATACCAGTTTTTAAATAATAGACTAGCATATGGAGATGTGGAAGATGTAGTCATCATTCAGAAGCTCCAAAGTGCCCCCGCATGCTTATTTGACATTGTGTCATACTCATAAATCATTCCTCCTACTAGATGGAGGTTAATGTTTGTTTAAGTTGTACAAAGTAGTTTTTGTTTTGGTTGACTAACAAGGTTGATTGCCTGTGTTCATAATCCTTTTTGCAAATTGACTGGCTTAACCTTTGTGTATCAGTACATTGACAGAGTAGGTCTTTCCAAGAAGTTATTTTTATCAAACTCTAAATTAAAAAAATAATCGAAGCAAAGAAATTTGTGGTAGTTTCAAATACAGTTTCTCTGCAGTTCATTTAGCCACAAATTACTGTTTGCTTTATTTGCCAACTTCTTTCAAATAACTTGTATTAACGAAGGCATATAACTTTTTTTCCAGTTGCTCAGGCCCATTAAAATTCTTCTCTGGGTCTGAAGGTGTTAGCTCAGTGGTGCAATACTTTCCTAACATTATGTTCCTAATGTTATGTTTTATTATTTTCCTAAACAAAATGTTTTTGGTTTTTGTGTTTTTTTTTTTTTTTTTTTTTTTTTTTTTGCAGTTCTGGGGATTGAACTCAGGGCTTTGTGTGTGCTAGGCAAGCATTTTGCCACCAGAATACATACCCCCCAACTCTCTGAGGAATGTTTTCTTTAAAGCAATATGTTTATTGCCAACTGTAAAAGTAATCATGAAAGTGCTTCTGAGCTGTGTTTTTATGAATTTTAAATTGTATGAATTACAGATTACTTAAAAAACTTAAGGGACATACATACAGAGCCATCATGAATACTAATAGATAATTAAGAATAACCTGGGTTGGAGTCTTGGCAGGATGTTACAATAGTTTGAATTGCAACTCTATAACTGACCCTGGGTCATTCAACTTAGACTACCTTTTGTCTCAAGAATTCCTATTTTGGCCTGTTTTCTTGGATGAGTGGTTGCTAGAATTGGTAGTGTGAGGGAATGTTCTATAAACAAAAACCAACGAATGAGATTTATACTAAAGTTCACCTACCATGACTGAATCTGGAAGTAAAAGGGTCACTCGTTATGGCCACTGTTTATTTAACAAATAAAGTTGAAATCTGAATCTTCTATTGGGTGCTAATGTTCATTTGGGAAATATTAAATAAGTAAATGTGCTAATAAATGCATAATTCTACCTTGTAATAAAATGAGAGATAGGAAAGTGAGATAGAGCATGAGGGAGAGGAATAGCAGTGGTAAGGGAGGTGACAAGTAAGGATTAGAAAGGAGTTGAGAAGGAAGGAGACTGGGGAGTATTGTGTACAGAGAATAGCTTGTGCAGAGGTTCCAAGGCAAGAGAGTTTTGAGAAATGGTAAGGGAATTGTTGAGGTGGGAGATTTGTTAGTGTGGCATAGTGATCTCTGATGTTGACTACCTAAAGATAAGTACTAGTTTTAAAAATATTTAAATATTAATATTAAAACAACTGGTGAACTTAATTCTGTTTTTTCAGTTGCTGTTTAATCTGGAATATATGAGGATGTGATGTCATGCTATACGTGATGTCCATTTCTTAGTATTTTTAGCTATAAAATGGCCCTTAGAGATAACTGAATTTAGCTACAAGTATTATGTCTTATAAATTTGGCAGCATGGAATATAATTTAAAGACTAACTTGGTAACTAAAAAATGTTTATGGCCATTTTAGTAATGTTCAGTAATTTCTCAAAGACTTGTTTCAACCTGGGGATGCTATTACCTGCTCTCCAAGGTTATTTTTCAGAGGTATACACATTTTCCTCTTCCTTGCCTCTCTGGTCTCTTACCTTCCCCCTTTCCTAACCCTTCCCCCATTCAGATGTGTCATGTGGAGACATTTTTAATAAATAATCAACTAAAAAATAGTGATCACACCAGAGATCTATTTACACCATGGTGAATATAGTTAATAACAATGTACTACTGTATTTTGAAGACCTATGAGTAGATTTTAAGTGTTCTCACCATAAAAAATAGGTATGTGAGATAAATATATTATTTAGCTCAGGTGAACTGTATACAATGTATACATGTTTCAAAACAATGTTTTACATGATAAATATGCAGTTTTATCAGTTAGAAAATTAAAGCATCTATTTACTTATTTAGCAGTATTGGGGTCAAACCCAGGCCCTTGTGCTTGCTAGGAAACTCTACCACTGAGCTACAACGTATCACCAAAACAAAATTTTAAAAAAGAGCTCACATCATCTGAAAACATTGATAGCTGAGTCTAGGCTACAATATTTCACTAAGTAGTCCATCTTCCAGGCTGATGTTCTTTACACAGGTATCACTTGGCTGGTTGGTGTGACAATGTATCATTATGTTAAAATATAGCAATTCTACTTTCAGTTTTTCTGTCAGTGGTAGGAATTGGTAGAAAAAGAGAAATAATTAGCCAATTAGCCAGGCATGGTGACACACACCTATAATCTTCTCTCATCTCTCTTCAGAGGTGGAGGCAGGAGGATCTCAAGGCCAAACTAGGCTACATAGCAAGTCCAAGCCCAATCTGAGCTACATAGGTAGATCCTGTCTCAAAAAACCAAGGTCTGGGAATGTAGCTCAGAGTACAGTGCTTACCTAGCATGCATAAGACCCTGTATTCAATCGCCAGAAGATCCCCCCAGAAAGAGGAATAATTAAGTCCTATGTAGATGAAAAGAGATAACTGTTTTATGATGCTGCTTTTTAAGGATACATGTCTTGTATTTGGCTATAAACAAAGGGTAGTTAAAGAGGCTGAGTTCATTTACTATTATACACCTCTTGGCAGAAAATTCCAGCTCCCTAGTAGCAGCGTGTTTATTTTATGAAAAAAATACATACACACACACACACACACACTCTCTCTCTCTCTGTCTCACACACACTCTCACACTCAGGACCTCATGTTTTCTAGGCAAGCACTAGTGTTTTTTTCAGTTTGGGTATCTTGCTTTTGCCAGGGATGGCCTCTGACTGTGATCCTCCTGTCTGCCTCCTGAGTAGCTGGGATTATAGGCATGAACAACCACATCCAATCCTCTTCTAATTGTCTTTTATCCTCTTCTAATTGTTTTTTATTCTAAGTATTTCAGTTTTTGTACATTTGTACAGTTGGCCCTCTGTAAACATGGATTATACATCAGCCAACCAAGGTTCAAAAATATTTGAAAACAGTGACATCTGTACTAAACATACACACATTTTTTCTTGTCATTTCCTAAATAACAGTATAATCACTGCTAGATAGCATTTATTTTGTATTAGGTATTACAAGTAACCTAGAGATGATTTAAAGTATGTGAGAGGATGTATACAAGGTTATATGCAAATATTGTGTACCATTTTCTAACAAGAGACTTGAACACCATGGATTTTGGTATGAGTAGAAACAGCAGGTATCCTGGGAACCAGTCCCTCACGAATATTGAGAAATCACTGTATTTTATTTGTAAACATTTTATTAAATGAGTCCTTGGCATAGGTTTACTTTGTCAGAATATTTTAAATAAACTCAAGTTGCTATAGATTCCTAAAATATTGTTGAATTTTGCATCATTTAAATTTTTTCAAATATTAAAGTGAACTTCTTAAAACAGTACTACTTTAAATTTTCTGTTTCTACTTTTTTGTCTTTTCTACTAATAGTAGCTATAACAGGACAGGACCTTGCTAAGAACTGTCAGTAAGTCGCCCTTTTTTTTCCAGACTTCTCATCTCTCACTCATGCATGTCAGTAATGGTGTCTAAATCATACTTCAAGAGCTCTTGCCCTTGTTCTCCTTTGCCAGTGTTTACTTGAACTTGTATTTTCCTAAGTGAATTGTCCTTCCCATTGCGTGTCTGTGCCACCCAGTAAGTGTTTACCTCAGCAACATTTGAAATGACCTTTATAAACTGTTTTTTGGTCAGTTTTATTTTGTGTTTTGAATGAGTCTGACTTAAATTGCAAAACAAGTTTGTTTGGTGGGGGAGGATGTCAAGTAGAAATGGTACAGACAGATCTTGACAGCACCATTGCCATTTTCATCTCATTGAGCACATGCTGTATACATGGTATTGTTTCTTAGCATAATTAATGTTCAAATAAGATTATAGGCTAAGTCCTTGGAGTAGTTTGTTCATGTTTTTAGTTTGTGAAAAAAGCAACATTTCATGGTTAACATTGGAGTATACATACAAAAATTGAGAAATATGTTTGATTTTGAGTCCTCATTTAAGAAACTCTGAAAATGATTTATTTATCTTTGAGCATGTATTCTTAAAGTAGTACTTTGTTTCTTTTTATGAATGTTTTGGAAGAGGCAGCAATTTCCATAACTGTATGGGAAAGTAAGAAATCTTAAACTCAAAGTTGGATTTTGTCTCATTTATGCCTCATTTCCTACCAACCAGAAACTGTTTGGGGTACAATTTTAGTTTTTAAACAGGGGTTATTATCAGACTGATCATAAAAAACTAGCACCTATTCAGGTTTTAATATTTTCAGGGGGTGGGGGATGCTGGGGATTAGACCTAGGTCCTCCAGCATACTGAACAAGCATGCCTCCAACTCCCAGGTTTTTATCTTATAACTTCTCTCACTTGTATAAAACAGCTGTTAAATACCATCTCTTCTAGGAGCTTCCACAGGGTATAGGGACATTCCTGCTAAAGGATCTGCACAAAACCCACCTAGAATCTCCATTACATTAGTACAGGATGATCAAGATACCATTCAGTTTCCAGTAATGGGTAGGAGATTCGATGTGATGCCCCATTACTTAAGTTGTATGAGATACCCATTTTCTGAATACCTGTTTGGATATTGACTTGTTTGGATCAGTTTCTGAAATACATGGAGAAAAGTACAAAAATCCTCCTTTTGATCTTTGTTTGCTAACATGCCTCTCCTTTCCTCTCCTGTCTTTTCCCTACTTTCCTTCTCCTCCCTTCCCCTCTTTCTTTTTTTGTAGTACTAGAGTTTGAACTCAGGACCTCATGCTTGCTAGGCAGAAGCTCTACCACTTGAACCATGCCACTCAGCCCTTTTTGCTTTGGTTATTTTTTGAGATGGGGTCTTGCATATATCCCCAGGCTGGCCTAGACTGTGATCCTCCTATTTGTGCTTCCCCGAGTACCTGATGACAGGCACATGCCACCTACCCAGCTTGTATTGATTAAGATGGGGTCTCCTGAATTTTCTGCCCAAGATGACCTCGAACCACAATCCTCCTGGTCTCTTCCCAAGTAACTAGGATTATAGGTTTGAGTCACTGCTCCTGGCCCCAGTATAACTTTTCTGATAAATAAGTCAATGAGTAAATTTCCTTTGACCTTTTACACTTTTTCTTCAATTAAAAAATGAGGGTTTTTTTTTTTTGGTTGTTTAAACCTCAGTCTTTTAGGAAATATATTAAGTCGATTTTATTTAAAAACTGAGTTTTTGTTTTCTTTGTAGTATAGGGGTTTGTACTTAGGGCCTCAAGTTTGCTACACAGGTGCTTTATTATTTGTTTCCCAGGCATTTTTTTGCTTTGTTTTTTTTGGATAGGGTCTCATATTTTTGCCTGGGACCTGTCTCAGACCACCATTATCCTACCTATGTCTCCCTCATAGCTGGGATCATAGACATGTATCATCACACCTGGCTTATTGGTTGAGATTGGCTTTTGATAACTTTCTGCTCAGGCTGCCTTCAAACTGTGACCATCTCAATCTCTACCTTCTAAGTAGCTGGGATTACAGGCATATCCCACCAACTTCAGCCTGAAAAATTGTTATTCTTTGACCTTCTGACTCTGAGGCATTATAGGCGTAACACAACCTAAGTTTAAGTCAATTAAATTTTCCTTCGTTTCTGAGATAAATTTCAGAATATGCTTGCTTTTTCTTTGTTGTATTTATTTCAAAACATTCTTTCCTTTATCCATCGGTTTAAATTTTGCTAGAGAATTCATTTGCCCTTTGTCTTTAATACTCAGTTAAAGATCAAGAGATTTAAGGATTTTTTAAAATATTTTTTAGCATTGTAACAATATACCTATGTAATGGAACATCTTATAGCAAACTGCTTGATAGGACTCCAACAACAGTTGAATTCATATCAAGCCCTCTCATGAGTGGGCCCTCTCATGGAGCTACTACAGTGAAGCAGTTAGAACCACCTGTGTTGGTAACACCAGGCCCATGAGATCTTTTAAGGTGTTATTCTAGCATTTTGTTGCCAGATGAAGGATTTTCCCTGTTTGTAACTTACAGCTTACCAGCCATGCAACAGAATGGGGTCCCAACCACCCAGGAGAAGAAACAGTGGTATCTTTTGCTGATGTCAGATGGGTAGCCACAGAAGAAGGAGCATGTTCAACAAGACTAAGGTTAGTTTGGAGAGCTAAGATGCAGTGTTCGTTATTTTACAAGGATGATACATTTGAATACCTACCTTTAATAGCCTGATTTGATCTGTACTAACAGTTTTTCTTGAACAGTCTTCTTTTTTGTTCATTTTTAATATTTTAATATTCAGCTTATTAAATCACAGAATTCTCTGCCATTCAGAAGGTTACATTCTAGTGTGAAACTCAGAAAGAACTATCATAAATATGTTTAGGTAAGAACAGTAATTGTAATGGCCTCATGGAGGGAGAGGGTCTGAGTCATAGAGAAGTTGCATACTTAGAGGATGTTTCCTAAAAGTTGTGAGTCAAGATGGGTTGAGAATCAAAGGAAACAAAATTATAAGAGTTAGGGAGGTGCTTCCATTTATTTGAAAGCCTGAATAAAATGTTGATTATATATTCAGTCTTAAAATTATTCAGTGTATACTTTTTTTTTTTTTTTTTTTTGATGAGACTGGAGTTTGAACTAAGGGCTTCACATTTGCAAAGCAGGTACTCTACCAACCTGAGCCATACCTCCCCCCATTTGCCCTTGTTATTTTGGAGCTGGGGTCTCCCAGTCTCAGTGTCCCAAGTAGCTAGGTGCTTGGCTACTTTTTTTTTTTTGTGGTACTGGGGTTTGAACTTAGAGCCTCACCCTTGCAAGGTAGGTATTCTACCACTCGATCTGCTCCACTAGCCCTCGGCTACTCTTTGCTCTTAATAGACATCAGAAATAAGGTACAGTTCTGGTGTTCTAGGAATACTTGATGTGCCAGAGGAGATTAAAAAGGAAGTTAGTATTTACTGATAAGTGTAAAGTCTACTAGCAGCAATTACAGAAGGCCACTGTCAGGTGAGAGAGGTTCATCAAGGCTTCTCAGGGGAGAGGATGCTGGAGCTGAGTGATCAGTAGACAAGTAAATGTGAAGGCTGTTCCAGGGAGAGTGAAGAAGTTGTTTAAAGATAAAATCACGAGACTTTGAACTTTGAAATGGTCAGTGGATCTAAAAAACCCTTTGTGCTTATATAAGTTGTGCCCCAAAAGTGGCTTCCCTTGACACTAACATTGAAAAAAATAAGAAAGAGGGCAAAAAGGGAAACCCTATCTAAAAACCTAAAAGCAAAAAGAGTTGGAGGTTTGGTTCAGTGATAGAATGCTTGTCTAACAAGTGCAAGGCCCTAAGTTTTAAACTCTCAGTACCACCAAAAAATAAATAAGAAAGATCCTCTATGTGTCTTAAACAGGATTCTGTGGTCTAGCCTTTGATTTTGGTACTTTGGTGCCAAAATCAAATAAAAAATGTAGAAATCTTGGCCACAGAAGTTGGTATGGTAGATAGATGACTTTAAGAAACATCACACTTTGGTTATTTGTCTTCTGCTTTGAGGGCATCCATCCTAGATGTCTCTTTTTATTGTTTTTGAATTTGTTTTTGTTTCTTTAAAAACAAAAGGATAAGATTCACCTGTCAGAGTTATAGGGAGATAGGGAAAGTTAATTCTTTTAACACTGCTTTCTGCTCATATTCATTAGTTTTCTCTTGCAGTTTATCTTGGCTAGAAGATAGTTTAAAGGAAGTCAGTTCAAATATGCTTTGCAGTTGATATCTTAATCCAGTGTGTTAGATTATCTTGTTCTAATTCTGGATGTTAAGGAGTAAATCTTCGTGGAGTTAGAAGATTGGTTTACTTGAATGATAATACTTAAAACAAACTTGTGAGGATTTAATACTTTTGAATCTCATAATTTCTAGGAGGATGTTACGTGGTGATATAGTGTGCCAAAGTGATGACTAGTTTTTAAATAAATAACACTGTTAAATCATTTTTTGTTTACTAGTACTAAAGGTTCTGGTACCCCAAATTTACTTCCTGTGTATAGATTGCATGAAACGTGCATAAAATGAAAACAAACCATCATCCTCATTTTCATTTCCAGATGTAGATGTGAACATATTCATTCTTTCAGGTAGGTTTTGATAATAAGCAAAGCAGAATTCTTCTTTTGTTGAAAAGGGAAGACAGTAAGGGTAGAGATGCATCTTTGTGCATAGGTTCTGTTTCCTTCTTCTCTTAATTCCACTTCCCTCATTTGTCACCTCCACGTGTCTCTCATGCCCAGTGCCCATGGCAATGGCATCTGTACCCTCTCTGTCCCTAGGACACTGCTTCCTCTAAACTCACGCTCAGTTAGTACTACTCTGCCTTCTTTTCCATTACGGTTTTGAGCAAGTGTTCTATTTCAATGCCACATTTACTTGAAATTTTTGTATTTTGCCCAGATCTGTTTGTGAGGCTAGAATTCTTTCACTCCCATTATCCTACCTACCAGCACTTTCCCCAGCTCCCTCAAGAAGTAATTTTTAAAAATCATTATTATTCAGTTTTACTTACAACAAAACATTACTGGGTTGAAGATAAGGCTCAAGCAGTAGAGTACCTGCTTTGTAAGTTCCAAGCCCTGAGTTCAGCCCCAGTTCCAACACAACAAAAACATTACCAAGAATATATTTGAAGGAACATAGTAAAGAATGTTTTATATTATGCTGATAGTAAACATAATTGCCCTATCATAGAGTAAATAGAAATCACACTATTTGGCAAGGTACATCAACAGAACCATAGTACAACTTTTTCAACTTCTAATGTCTAATTAAAATTATTTTATTTGCAGATTAATTAGAACACATGCATCTGATCAATAAATTCTATACCATAATCTTTCAAACAGCATATTGATACATATAATCAGAGTATTGCTACTGTTCCTTACGGAAGGTTTTACCTATGTTCATTCTTCATTTGCCTTTTAAAGAAGTTGCATCATCTGTTTCTTCCCAGTGTCAGGCTAAGAAAGAAAGCAGTAATTGAAGCTTTGCAATCCAAACATTTCCCTATCCAAATATTTCCCTATCCCACAAATATTCCAGTTTAAATAAAGATGGCTGCTAGGTGTGCTAAGCTAGAAAAGAAGATTTTTTTCCAAATTTTTTGTTTAAAAATATTATCGGTAAAAATCAACTTGTAAATGTAACAACTTGCAATTTAATTAACAGGACATAAATAAAATTAGATTTAAGAAAAACACTTGAATTCGGTTCTTAAGGCCAAAAGCTAAGAGTTCAAGAATTCTCCTATTAAAAAGAAAGTAAACGAAGAGTTATATAGCTCTCAAGCAAAAATAAAATACTAATATCTAGTTAAAAGGAAAACTAAATAGAATTTAATATTGTTGAATGTCCTAATAGTTAGGATTGCATTTGTCTGTAACAGAGAAGGTCATAAGAATGGTATCTTAAACAAGGTGAAAATTTGTTTTTCTTTCACGGTAATTTATTTCTCTCTCAAATCAAAGACATAAAAGGTAGATGGTCTGGAGCTAATAGTGATTCTTGCAGTGTCATTACAGACCCAGCCAGGCTCTCATCACTCTAAAAACACCATCTCCTCTCAAGACAGATCTCAGCAAGAAGAGAAGGGTCTGAGGCATAAGATGAAAGGGCTTTCTCACGGATCCACTTCCCTTTAAGTGTCCCTGGTAGATGATACTCCAAAATCCTGCCTGCAGTTTTGTTAGCCTAGTTCAGTCACATGTCCATACAAAACTAAAAGAGAAACTGGGAATAATAGCTCAGCACAGTGCTGCCCTGAAATAAAGTTTTCCTTCTTTATTTCTATTTGTTATTTTTTGGGTTTTGGTGATGATTTTTACTAAGCAGAAAGGGAGAATGCCTATCGGATTAAGCAACTTGTGATCTCTGTCTCAGCATACACTGTGCACTGGTGTGAGCCTTGATTAACATCCTTCTACACCCCAGCTAGGCGTTACTCTAATTTTGTAACTGTGGCCCCTTGGTGGGGCTAATCACAGAGACTTTTCGGTTAAGGATCGTGACTGCTGGAAATTGAGCAGAATTTCATGAGGGGTGTATATGAGCTGGAAAATCAACTTTTTAAAGGAATTTGTGATTTCAAAAAAAAAAAGTTGGGTACAATGTTAAAGTTGATTTAGAGTAAGGAGAATTCTCAGAAGTCAGTTACAGGTTCTTTTCTTTAAACCTCCAAGTCAGGGCACTCCTTTGCTCCACTCCTATGCAGTCTTGAGCATGCCAAAGAGAGCATTCCCGGGCTCAGCATTCCCAGCATAAAGAAGCCTGAAGCAATGAAAAACTAATGGTTAGTCTTTGACCAGAAAGATTTCTTGTTTATATGTATTCTCTCCCCGCCCCACCCCACAGGAGTGGGGATTGAACTCAGGGCCTTGTACTTGCTAGGCAGTTCTCTACCACTTGAGTTGCATCTCTCAGCCCTATAATGTATTCTTAGTTCAAAAAATGTAAAGTTTTTAAACCAGGGCTAAATAACACTTCTATATCTTTCATTGACAAACAGCAATGTTGATAGCCTAAAAAACTATAAATCTCAACTACGGTATTGGCTGTTGTACATAGTAAGTAGTATGTGACATTAACCCTGTGTACTCAGATGTAAAATAATACCTGCATTCTGGGATTCAAGTTAAATGTGGTGGAGAGGAAAGCTTCAGCCCTGTGTCTGACAGCAGAGGTTGCATTCAGTGTTTGTTAGTTCCTTTTCTCTTCAGCTTTCAAACACAGGAGGCTTTCCCCAAATATTGCAGCACTAGGCCTTTGGTTCCCATTCCCAAGATAGTCTTGTCTGGGGCTGGGCACTATAATTACTTCCTGTAACTGAATGAAGGATTATTTTGGTATTATAGAGTTCTCAGAATTTAGGGAACAGTTTTCTGAGTCTACAGAATTTTATAAGGTGGATATAAGGGAGAAGTGAGACTAGGACTGTTATTTAAAGGGAAAGAATTTAAAATAAAAAAGAGCCTAAGGGAAAGATGCAGACTGGGAAAACTTGTAGAAAATAAAAGGAAATGGATAAGAATATATACTCTGACAGATGAAAAGAAATCTGAATTTTAGTCTCAACCCCAAGACTTCCATTTAGAAATACTGGATCATGCACATTAAAAAAAGGTTTTACATCCAAGTGAAAATGAGACCATTTATGTACTTACTACATGGGTTCAATTGTAATTTTTCTCCTTTTCAGTTCCTGGGACTGTATTTTGCCTACATTGTCACTATATGTTTTGCAGTTCGATGTGCTCCATCACACATGGGAAACACTGAATTGAAATGCAGAAGCTAAGACCCTTGGGAAGGCCTAAGGAATTCTGATTTGTTTTTTCTGCCAATTATAATAATTAGGTTATCATTTTGAAAAACACTGAAAAATTTCTTTGCTTGAATAGCAAAGACAAAAAAAACTAGCAAAAATTTTGCTGGGATCTGTGATGCCTTTTGATAGTGTTGGTTTGTACATATTCTATGTTCTATAGAGAGGAAGTATGATGGCAGTATGAACCCTATGTGTTGTATGTAGCTTCATAAGGTGGGAAGTTATTTGCTGTTTTAACACTTATGTGAGAGGATTTACATAAGATCAGCCTGGAAAGTGGTTTGTGAGTGTTAGGCTCTGATACTCTGTTAAAAGAGTAGCGAGGTTCTCTTATATCCCCTTACAAAGCCTGCAACAGCCACCATTATTATGTCTTTCTTGCAGGACAGAGGTTGGGTCAGAGCTACCCCATAAGGATCACCTTCCTTTTTTTGAGGAGTCCCCAAGCAGGCAGATTTCCTTACCAAATTTGTCTCAAGAAGAGCCTCCACTGAAGACTACAGCACTGGCTAATGAAGAAGCACTGCAGAAGATCTGTGCACTTGAAAATGAACTTGCTGCTCTCAGAGCTCAGATAGCCAAAATTGTGACCCTGCAAGAGCAACAAAATGTCATCGCAGGTCTGTAAATCCTACATGTATTTTAACTGGAAATTAGCAGAAAGCCACTTAATTTATGATTCACTAGTAATATCTCTTGAGTTTATCAAAAACCAAGTACTAGTCCTCTGCCTGCTGTATTGTAGAACCCCGTCAAGTTTAGAGGTGTCGTGTGCTTGTTTTGAATAATCTTGATGCTGTCAGAAAGGATGACTAGAAATTTTATTTTAAAAACATTGAAATTCATGTATTTGAATTGCTACTGTTGTGAATGCTTTCCTAATGAAAAACTTAGCTGTCTAATGATGCCACCTCTGTCTGACATAAGGGCATGCATGGCTTTCTGTCTAGAGAAAGGAGCCTGGGGTTCTGGGTGGGACTTGAGCCAAGGGCTATTTACTACCTGCATGTCCTGAGGTAAGCATTTGACCTTCACTTCTGACCTGCTCTAAAATGGGCATAGTACCTAGGTTGCAAGTTCCTCTGTGAGTAAATATGGGAAGTATATAAAATGACTTTAGCACACAGTAGCTGCTTAATGGTTGTTGCTTTTCCTCTTGCACAGAGTAGAAAATGAATTCAGTTCTTCTGATCTAATACTGTTGCTTTAATTAGTGTGACATCGTTTCTTCTATGAAGAAGAAACCACAGTCTTAAAATCCTAGCCTGCTAACCTGTTGGCAAGTAGTGGTGGTTTTTCCTGTTATTCCCAAATCCAGTGAGCTCTGTTGACAGGATAAGGACAATTTGTTACCCTTAATCTGAGCCTCTTAGCTTGCGCCACATGCAGCTTGGTCATGACAGTAAAGGCGCGCTGGGCATCAGGTGCTGGAGGGGTGAGGGGTGCTCCTTCTGTACACTTTGTACAAGTGGAGTCCACCTTTTTCTTCTGTTAATATTAAATTCCTGTTTTCTTTTGTTTTACCTCCCTCTTCTGGCATACTAAGAAAACTACTGCAAATAATATGATAATTTTACAGTGTTATAGTCTGAATCTTTTGAGTAAAACTCTCCTGCATTAGTGTGGTTTCTCCTCTACTCTCATCAGTACAGTTCATCCAGTACAGAAGTGTCTGTCAACTATGCAGAAAGATTAATTTTAGGTATTTTATAACTTCTTTAACTCTTAATGATTTTTTGTTTTGAAATTTAAGATTTACACTTTTTTCTTCCACAGTTTGTTCAACAGTAACTCTAAAAATTTCCTCCTAGAAATAGTCCAGTCAATGCGAGCTCTTAGTGCAACATCTTCTATGAAAGTACACTTTAAATGAACCACAAATGTATCAGTTTTTTTCTGATAATTGTACTAAATTGTCAAACTGTATGGAAGATAAAGTTGTTCATGTGCTACAAATTGCTTTATATTTTTGCTTAAAGTGGTTACGCAGTGTGCCACAAATTTGAGCTTTTGATGTTACAAAAACACCCTTGTTAAGTTAAATGGAACTTTTCCATCTGGTGAATTTGGATTCATTGGTACAGTAGCTCAGATTCAGACATTTCTCATGAAGTAACTAAGAATCTTACATAACTAACATTCTTTTTAAAGGATGTTTTTCGAAATACAAAAGCCCCTAACATAATTTTGCTTTAAAAAACTGGTATTTTCTTTGCCTATTAACAACAGGATTAAATTTGCTTCTTCTCATTTCTTTTATGGGTGACTTAGATTCTACCACATCTGTTACTGCAGTACCACCTCCTCCACCACCTCCACCCCCACCCCCACCACCCCCTCCACCAGGACTCCACCAAACTATGTCTGCTATCGATCTGATTAAAGAGCGAAGAGAGCAAAAAGCCCATGCTGGAAAGACTTTGACCAAGAACAACCCAAAGAAACCTGACATGCCAAATATGCTAGAGATCCTTAAAGATATGAACAGTGTAAAACTTCGATCTGTCAAGAGGTGAGGATACACTTACCTTCTTTCTTACTACCATATTTATGTCTTATAAAACCAAGCTACTAGGCTTCTCAGGAAATTTTATTTATAATATGACTAATATGAAGTTAAGTTTTTCATTAAAAAAAGGTAGGCCTCAGCAGTTCCTCCTGTCCATTGTAGCTAAGATATTTGCAAAGTAAACTGATCCTTTCTAGATGATTTTTTTAAGCTTTCCTGTTTCATTTAAGTATCATCACCTTTTCATGAAGTCTTTGTTGTGACTGTTTGATCATCCATGCAGTAAAGGTGTATACTATGTACCCACTCAGGTAGTTACTAGACACACATGGAGCACAGAGTGCTCTGGAGTTGCACCAGTGGCTCTTTATTGGTTGAGTCAAGTCTAGGTTTCCATCTCACTGCTAACAATGCTTGTCAGTGTCGTGATGGAGTGACCACAATGCTAGAGAAGCACTGTCAGCTCTGAATACATCTGAGGGATGCCAGCATATTGACTGCCCCTTGGTTTCTGCTGACTTTTCAAAGGTCGGAGCAAGATGTAAAGCCTAAGCCAGTTGATGCTACTGACCCTGCTGCTCTTATAGCAGAGGCTCTGAAAAAGAAGTTCGCTTACCGGTATCGAAGCAATAGCCAAGGTGAAGTTGAAAAAGGAGTTCCAAAGTCTGAATCAGCGGCTACCTCAGAGACAGCATTGGTGAGACACTTTCTGGTTAAGTGGTAATTTGCTCCACGTCAAAGCCCCTACATTTGCAAGACATCCAACTGTGTCCTCTGCAGGATTCAGTGGGATGTGACAAAGAATTCATTCCCTACCTAGAAGTAGATTGCAGCTAGCTGGGAAAAGTGACATCTTTGTGTAGCATTTGTACTTGTATATTTCTCACTATAAAAGTAATAGGTATTCATTTAAAATTTTAAAACTTACAGAAGAGCATAAAGAAAAAAGCAAAAGTTAATCTCAAATCTCACTGCTTAGCAATCTCCTATATTAAGTTTTCCATGTGGAGCTATATTTGTATTTAAGCCTAATAAGCTGAAATTAAGTATAATAAAAATTTTATTATAGAGCAGTTTATATGTTATGATAGAGAAACTCAAAGCAAGCTCATTTTCTCTCAGGACACCCTGTGAAAGCCTTCTGAAGAGGGTGAGATCTGATGTGGGCCTTGAATATGTGTCCTTTGTTTCACAGCAGCTCAGACATTAATGTCTACATTCCCTTTGATCATGTTACTGTCATGGGGACATGCTTATGTATTCCAGAGAGGCAGATATCAAATTATAGTGTACATGAAGCTCTTTAGACATTGCAAGGGGAATTTGTGTTTCCTCTTCCACTGAGAACTAAAATGGGACTAAACTAGGGTATTGTTAAGATGATCATAGTTTTCTTTTCTAGGAGGAAATTTGGGTGCCTCTTTGTCCTTCATTCTGTTTATAACAGGGTGTTTCTTCATAAAGATTTTAATATTACCAGTAGCTGCTGGTTTTTCAAGCAGAATATACCCAGGCCTCTCCTGTTTTCTGAAAGGGGACATATCATTACTGTTACAGGAACAAGTATCTATCTTTAAACTTTTTTTGTTTTTTCTTTTCCAGTTTGGGCCACATATGTTGAAGTCTACAGGGAAAATGAAGGCTTTAATTGAAAATGTTTCAAACTCCTAATGGACATTGAGCTGAAAAAGACTGTCCTGGTTTAGCTGTTGGTTTGTGAGGGCTGAGTTTGACTAGTAGAAACTAACACTACTTAGTAAATACCTGACTTCAGTATTCAGTGGTCTCCTTTTTAACCTAATTAGTGGATTAAGCAATAGTGAAAGCATCACAAGTTTGGTTTTGTTTTTATGCAGTGGTCAGTTCTGGAGCTCTCCTTAACATACATGTCGTGTGATATGTTTTAATGTAGCCAGGGTGTTCAAGTTTCCAGTCTTGAAAACTTGTAAGATCATAGAAAAGATGTATGTGGGTGTTACTGTGCATTTTTAATTCTTAACACTAACTTATCTGTACAAATATTTTATATGCATACTTGGATATAAAACAGTTTATATAAAACTTAGTAATGAACGACAGCAGTCAAGAAACTGTTACCTTCGTGTGTTTTCAATGATCATTCAGTGGAGGAAAGAGCTCTGGTATAACTTAAGTTATTGGAGTAAAATATTTAAGATCAGAATTTGTCTTGAATAGAACTTTATCTTAGACTTTCACTTTTTTTGGAGCCGGGTTTTACATGGGAATTGGATGATGTTCACTGCTAAAATTCCGTAATGCTTTCCATTAGAGAGAAGATGAGGACTAGGAAAGCTGCTTACACCTCATTGCCATCCAATGCTGAGGAAGCAAATGGACTTTTCAAGTAGTGACAAAATTAATGAATTAAATTACTTATTAAGTAAAAACCAAAATGTACCATCTTTTTTTCTTTTCAGTTTAATAAATGGTATCATAAAAATAACTTGTTGCTAAGTTAATAACACTTCTGGAAATATCAGCATAATGGAGTTTAAAATTTTTTAATATTGGTCAAAATATTAACTATGATGAAAATAATCTTGAATAGGAAACGAATTTCCTATAAATTATTGGTCAGAATGCTGTTCTGATGAATTACATTATATATCATAAATCTTAGGTGTTATTAGAAAGTTGAGAACTGCTTTTCTCATTGAGGATTTTTAAGTGATTATTTTCAAAAAAAGTTTAATAAATTTTCATGATTTTCTATTTTCTGATAAACTCACCTGCAGTTAATGCCAGAACCACCTACCATGAATAAATATTTGGATTTATTATTTAAGTCTAGAGAAGAGTAGTTATACTTTCTGGGACGATTAAGAGATGGGAAGAGTAGATAGATATTTTAGGTTATTTAATATATGTGTGTTGCTCTCCTAAATATCAACAAAAAGCTGTGTAATTTGCATGGTTTGGATATTTAGTTTAAATTCGAATTTTGGCATGTTGTTAATGTACATTGTTTCTAAACGTTTTATGTGGTTTGAAAATTCTGCCTTTTAAGAAAGGCTGGGTACCAATGGCTCATGCCTATAATTCTAGCTACTTGGCAGGCAGATACCAGGAGGATTGTGATTCCAAGCCAGCCCAGGCAAATAGTTTGGGAAACCATATCTTGAAACTATTCAACACACAAAAGGGCTGGCATAGTGACTCAGGAGGTAGAGTTCCTGCCTAGGAGGCATGAGGCCTGGAGTTTAAGGCCCAGGATGATTATGAGTTTGAGGCCAGCTCTCAAAGTTAGACCCTACAAAAAAACAAAATGAAAACAAGGTCTGCAGGTGTGGTTCAAGTGGTAGAATGCTTGCTTAGCATCTGTGAGGCACTGGGTATAATCCCCAGTACTGGGTGGGGGGTGCAGGGGAAGAATTCAGGAAGTTCACCTGACACATATTTTGACCTCCTAAGAAATTTGTATCAGTGTTGAATTTTGACTAATGTTCCAATATAAGGAAGTTACTGTTTTAGAATAAAGCAAACCATTATATTCTCCTCGAATGAATTACCCATTTATGTGTTTTCATTTTTTTCTTTTTCGTCATTTTCACAGAAGATCACATTTTTTCATATTGTACATGTTGTTTCTTTCTCTATTTTGGCAGCACTGGGGTTTGAACTTGGGTCTTGTTCTTGCTAGGTGTTAGTCACACTCCCAGCCCTTTTTTGCTTTGGTTATTTTTCAGATAGGGTCTTGTGTTTTTGCTCAGGACCAAACTCAGACCAACATCCTGCTACCTATGCCTCCCATGTAATTGGGATTGCAGGTGTGCATATCTACATCTAGCTTGTTCCTTGAGATGGGGGGGTCTCACTAACTTTTTGCCTTAGTCAGCCTTGAACTTCTAACCTCCTGATGTTCACCTTTGAGTAGCTGGGATTACAGGTGTGAGCTGCCACAACCAACCATGTTGCTTCTTTAGAATAACTTTCTACATTTCTCAAGTGGAAATGCATTCCTTAAAATGAGCTGTATACTTTCTCTCTTAAAGGAATCTCAGCATTAACACGAGAGGGCAGTTCCAGGAGATTTTCTCCAAGTTCGCATACTTGTAACCAACCTGGGATTAGTGAGATCTGTTTTCCCAGCTTCTACCACACTCACCTCATTTTGTGGTGCCCCCACCTAACACTATACGTTAAGAGATCTTAAAATAGCTAAGGTCTGTATTTTCTATACAAAGCTCAGAAAAGTAAATAACCTGCTATAATGTTTTGTCTGCTATAAATTCTCACCAGTCCAGTGATCTCACTTTAGAGATAAGAGCCAGAGAATACTGGGCTTGGAGCCTATGTCATTCTGACCAAATCACACTTTAAAAAAAGGGAATAAGGTTCAGTAGCTCAAAAAATTCGTTTTTTTGTTTTTGTTTTTGTTTTTTTTTTTTGGTGGTGCTGGGGTTTGAACTCAGGGCCTTATGCTTACTATGCAGGCTTTGTACCACTTGACCCACTCTATCAGCCAAAAAGTTCTTAAGGAACAGAACAACAAAAAAGGAACAGTAAACAAATAAGTAATCATCATTGACAATGCCTTATTTTACATGAAGTCTATCTAGTAATTGTTTTTTCTAGGACATGTGGCCCCTGGCACTTGTGAAAGCTGTGATCCTATGCACCCATTTGCATATGCTGTTGACAGGAATAGGAGGACCTTATAATTATAGGTCTTTCTGCCTAAGATGTTTACTTTTCTTGCTGTGTTATGAATTTGAATGAGTATGTCTCTCTGATGAAGAGGGAGAGAGGTGATAACTACAAGAAACAAACACTTCTGATAATTTCCTAAAAAAATAGTTCTGTGGGTAGAATCTGGCAGATTTTAAGCTGGGTGTTGTGTCATGGAGTATGTCTGTAATCAAAGCACTCAGGAGGCTGAGGCAGAAAGATCAAAAGTTTGAGGTCATCCTGGCCTATAGGGAGATCTTGTCTCAAAAAAAAAAAAAAGTTTAAGCTTTTAGAAGTTCACCCAACTAAACAACTCTGGAATTATGAGACAAAATGACATTTGGTTTCACAAGAGACTGTCACAATATTTCTCATGCACTTTTGTAGGCCCCATTTGTGTGTCCGGTGTCCTTTCATCTTACAGATTTGTCATTCTAAGTTACCTTTTGAACCTATTTCTTAGGATTCTTTGTAGACTTTCCTTGGGAACTTTGTAATCAGAGTAGCTCCTCACTGGTTGGTTGTATTTTTTCTCCTGGTACTAAGGTTTGAACTGAAGGCCCACATGTCTTAGATAGGCTCACTACCACTTGAGCCACCCACCAGCCCCTTGAGAATAAATAGGATAATAAAGTAGCATAACCAAGGAGGGACTCAGAAAGCTTAGACATTTCCCACAGACTGGTGTCCTTAGTTCATAAGGGCTAGAAGCCTTATTCTTACAGCTGAAACTTTTCTTTTGGTGGAAAGAGAAAAGGTTCTCTTTTGAAAATGTTAGAGGGCTTCTTCCATAAATAAAGTTAGAGCAGAACATGAGTGTAATTTAGACATTTCCAGAAGAGTAAATTATAATCCAAATAGTGCTTCCTATTATACCATACCAAATGGTTATCATAGGGCAGTCATTTTTTGCCTCCTTCCCAGCTGGAAAAGCCTAATTTAAACAAAAAGGCCAAACTCTTCATAACAAGATTTTTACCTAAGGTATAACAAGCCTGTCAGTGTTGCCTCATGGTCATCCCTCTTCATTGGTCGGGCATATTTATTATGAAAGAATGGAAGAAGGTGAACTGTCCAGGGAGTTACGGTATGGAACATGGTTTGTCTACAGGGTGAAAAAAGATGGAAACTTGAATATGCTGGGAACAAGCAGAGCAGCACATAAAGCGCCAATCATGGGTGTCAAGCTGCCCAGGTATTCCTTACCCCTTGGCCTTCCCTGCTGCAATGGGAACCGACTGCTTTGTTCCAGGGACAACCTCAATAAGTTGTTCCAGTCAGATTCCCAAAATCCAAATGAGAAACTCAAAGAGTAAGAGGCAGTGCCAGGAGTTTCAGATAAGGTCACAAGGCACAACTGTGATTATGAGGAAACTAATTAGGAATACTTCTCGTAGCAGCCATTGGTTCAGCACTTGCTAAGTGTCAGTACATAATTTGACATAAGAGGTAGACATTTTACAGTTTAGGAAGCCACTCAAAAGATTGGATAACTTGCTGAAGGACTTAAACCCAGGACTGGCAAGCTGCAGAGACAATTGCTTTTTAAAAACCGTATTACAGTATACTGTCTTCCAAAGCAGGAACTGCAAAGTAGATGAGAGACAGAAGAGGGACAGAAGCCAACAGCATGGAAGGAGTTCCATGTCAAAATGATTACATCCCAGGTTCTGCTTACTGAGACTCAGCCTCACTAGAGTGGCCTGCATTATCATGCACACAAGTCCTCCTGATAGAGCCCCCAATTACCTGAAATAATCTGAGTGAGTCCCTGCCATCATGAAAAAGCCTAGCTTGCCCTTAACTTGTGATGATTCTTAGGTAGAAATTCAAGTATTCTGCAAATGTTCACTTAGGAAATTGTGTGTATTTGTGTTGCTGGATATCAGAGCCAGGCCTCCCTCCCTGGTAAACAAGAGCCTACTACTGAGCTGCATCTCCAGTCCTCCTTTTAGGAACTTTAAGCAGTCATTTTCATTGCATGTTTAACACCCTTCCCTGATTCTTATGTTGAAACCCTAACCCCTAACAGGATTGGTTCTAAGAGTAGGACCTTTGGGAGAGAATTAGGTCCCCATGATGGGATTAGTGTTCTTAAAAGAAGAGAGCTAGTTCTCTCTCCTTCTAGCCATGAGAGGATACAACCAGAAGTTGGCAAGTCTGCAACCTGGAAGTCCTTCACCAGAAGGACCAACCATTCTGGCACCCCGATCTTGGACTTCAGCCTCCAGAGCTGTGAAAAATAAGCATCTGTTTTTATAAGTCACCCAGTGTATGGTGTTTTAACAACCTGAGCAAACGGAGACAAGCACACTTATTATTTCTTTCAAAAGTTTATATATATAACATAAATTTCAGCTAAGATAAAAGAACTTGTGATATCATTACAGTCTCCTGATTTTTTTTTTTTACAGGATATATCTCAACAATGAAGAAATATTTCAAATTTATGTTAAAAAAAACCTCAAATGCATAGTTTAAAGATAAGTACAAGATGGACCTTCTTAACAAAGACTTGACGATGGGACCAGTTGGAAAGCCACAGTAGACTAAGTCACCATATTTCAGTTTTAAATAACAGCCAACAAGAAATCTAATACCAAAGATGGAAGTATTTCTCTTCTCCTGCCATCCTACTAGACTCAGGATGGACTGCAGGACAACTTACAAAGTGTAGGCATACAATTTTAAAATGTACTAAGTGTTTTACCAAAAGCACCATGTTGAATACTTAAAACTATGTTTTAGACTCAAATTTGAAAGCTAAGTGATTTAGATCTTAACAAAAAAGTTACTAGAAATGGTGTCATTTTCATCATTCACTAAATCATTCTCCTAAACACTACCAGTTTTTTACAATTCAAAAACCTGTCATATTACAAATACTTTGCACACATTGCTGTCACCCACTTTAACATGGAGACCGTGATTTATAATTTTTAATACCCCTTTTAATTTTTAATATCCAGTGCCACACTGCATACAACAGAAATAGGTATTGTCACACTTTAGCACAAAACAGATAACTAATTTCAGTAATTTAGTGATACTCTAATAACCAAAGAGGGATGCATTAACTACATACCAATTTATTCAACGAGCATTTATTGATGGTCCAATTTACATCAGCCCTATGCTGAGCACAGTAATGAGGAAGACAGTGACCCACTTTGTGCCTTGTCAGCTCACTGCCCCCCAGGAGTGGTCACCCCCCCTATAGACCATGGACCTTTAGGGTTCTTCCAAATGATGAAGGCTGTCTGCAGGTCCTTAGCAAGGAGTGGCTACAGAGGAAGTCTTCCACATACATATTCTAAATCTTCCAAATGTATGTTGATGCTATGGTGACTAGTATGCACATTTCTTGAAAAGCAACAAACTGGGCACGGGTGACTTACGCTTATAAATCCTAATCCTAGCTATTTGGTGGGAGGCAGAGATCGGAAAGGATCTCGGTTAGAGGCCAGCCCAGGCAAAAAAGGGAACCACAAAAAAGGGCTGGCAGAGTGATTCAAGTGGTAGAGCACCTGCCTAGAAAGCCTGAGGCCCTGAGTTCAAACTCCATTCCTCCTCCCCCTGCAAAAAATTCATATAAGTTATTGGTCATTGTTTTCTCAATTGGCAGATACTGATTGGGAGAGAATTTAACTATATATTAAGATACAAGTTTGAAGACACTAGAAACTTGTGGCAGTTTTAAGAAAATAGTAAGTTTAATAAAAGTCAAAGCATGGAAAGAGACCCTTTTCAGAATCTCGAAGGAATTAGCACCTGTAACCCGTACCTCAGGAACAAGGATATTGCCAGGTTTATAAAGGATTCTTTATAAACCTGTAATTCTTATTTCTTTTATACAAAGAGGATCATTTCAAACCATTGCTTAGGTCAAATACTGATCATGAATCAATTTTTGTTACACTAGGACTTGTCAAAAATTTCTGTCCAAGAAATTTTTACCCCTCCGAGCAGAGACTCCTTCACCACTTAGGTGTTAGGCCCGGAGCCCCACAGGGTTGCATGTTCAAACTTTTTTTGAGGTCTCTAATTTATTTTGAAAATTCATGTTAATTTTGCATTGTCCCTTAATAATTGCTTTTATTAAAAATACAATCTAAATACATAACGAATTCCTCAGTTTTTGTCTTTTTTTTTAGAAAAATGAATGTTCAGGGAATATAGATCACGTTTAAGAAGCGGTGTTATAGAACGTGATTCCCACATATATATAACAAAACACAGCTTTTCAATGGGTTTATTATTGATGTAGACAGGAAAACGGGAGCAACGAGGTATGTCTTTGAGAATATGTAAACAGGAAGCTAATCCTTGGAGTACTAAACTTTAAGAAGAACAACTGATCAGCACAGAAGTAAGCAATCACACAGGTAGAAAGGAGCCAAGGTGCACTCAAACAAGGTTGAAGGTAATGCTGTATCTAATGGATGCCAGCTAACTGGGACAAGCAACTGCTGGCAGAGAATCTCTAGTGTCATCCAGGGGCATAGAGTACCCTGGTCCCAAACATGAACATCCGCCAGGTATGTCCCCACAAAGGAGAGGGATGTGTGAGGAAACTGCTTCCCTTGCTCAGAATCCATCCTCACCAAGTACACCGATGTTCGTAATTTGGCTTCTCGAGAAGATTTGCCTAAAGAGAGAGAATGATTGATAGTTACATTTCTCATTGCAAATCAAAATGCTGATACTGTTCTTTAAGATGTCAGTTATTGTGAGTTCACCATATGCTGATAATGGTCTGTGAGCCTACAGGGATCCTTGTCGGACCCTGCACACGTATTTGCCAAGGTGACGCCACTTCATATCATGACTGGACAGTTGACCTTCTGCTGTAATAACTCTGCTACCCTCAGATCTTTGTACCCACACTGTCCAATATGGTAGCCACTAGCCACATGTGGGCTTTCTTGCAATATGGCTGGTCTGAATTGTAAGTATAAAACACTGGCGTTCTAAAGCTTAGTAACCCACCCCCTAAAAAATAATGTAAAGCATGTTGATAAAATACTAGATGTATCAAAATGAAATTATTAAAATTCCTTTTCTCTTTATGGGGCTACTAGTAAATTATTACGTGGCTTCCATTACATTTTCATCGGACATCATTATTCTATACAAATAATGACAAATTATGTTTGACTTTAAAGTTTGCATTTTGTCTCTTCTAATGAATTGGACCTGGAACGAGACAGGTGAGGCCATTCTTGATTGATGCCAACCAAAAATTCAATGGATGTTTCTTACGATTTCGCTTTAAACAGGCCAATGATAGAAATAAATACAACTAGTATTTATTTTAGTACTCCTAAAAAGTGATGTCTTACACAATTCCCAACTGTGGGAACAAAAGACTGTGGAGTCAAAAAGCCTAGCTCTAAGCCCAATACTGTGAAACACTAGTAAGGACTCTGAGCAAACTATGCATCCAGGTCTTGGCGTGCACACTTGTAAGGTGCATGACCCCAGAGGATGGTGCATGCACACAGCTCTAAGTAAGATGGATGAGCGAATGCAAGAGCCACGCAGCTAACTGTAACTACCTCGTAATTTAACACTGATTTCCAAAGGATTGAGTTAGATGGTAAATATCAAAGATAAAATGTGAAAAGATAGGTTTTTATTCATCAAAAGTTAACAGCAACAGGCACATATTAAAATGAGTATGGCAAAGCCTTTTACAAATGGCTTTACACTCAAGCTTTCTCCCAAGAAAATGGCTGTTGCAACAAACTGTAAACATAATTAATAAACAGTCTTTTACAGTAACAAGGGAAATACAAATGAACTAAAAGCACCGGTTTCTCTTAAAACTAGATTACAGTTGTGCTTACTATACATAAAACAATTTAAAACAAATTACAAAAGTGGAATGTTTTAAGTTTAAAATTAGTCCCTAGATTTTGTCCTAGAAAACATCTGTTCACATCAAAAGGCCCATCAAAGGGTAAGGTTTCATCAAAGGGAGGGACAAGAAAACAATGCACTTTTTCAAATCAAAACAAGAAGTTTGGTCACTTAGCTTTGTGCATAGTTTAAGGCAACTGGAGCAATCTTTACAGTTCACCTACCTTCCCCTCCCCCAAGTGTGGCTGCTCGTTATGTCACATTCTAAAATAATAAATAAAAGCTTACATTTCCAATCCTTTCCCACATGGATAAACAACATGCACAGTCATACATGCACAAACATGCACGCAAACACACATCCACACACAACATACCTCTCACGCACTGCAGCGAAAGTGACTTTAGTACCCTTGATCTGAAGGACACACTTCCCCATCCCACTTTATTTCAGATTGGCAAATACCCTGAGCTGATTATGGAGTTTTAAACATTCCACCTTTTTCTTGCATGTGCAGGTCAAGTGTACAGTAGTGAAAACAACATGCAATGTCTTCACTGCAGAATCGTAATACAGCTAGGACATTGTTGTTTCTCCCCTCCCACCCCAAATTAAAACTAACAGTTAAAAAAAATTGCATTGCCAAACAGCACTGGAGTGAAAGCTTGGCGGTACTCTATGATAAATGCTCAGTTTCCAGTGCACAAAATAAAATACAGCAAATGGGAGGCTTTGGTGGCGTCCAAAGAATGAAAAAGGCAAACCAGGGGGAAGAGTTGCAGTCCAAAGTTTGATTTGTAATTTTTTTCTTTCTTTTTTTTTTTTTTTAGTGGTTCCTTCACAATCATGCTCCAAGGCAATTTAGAACCAATATTTTCAGAGTTGATTTGTAAACACTGAGTCTTGCCAGAGGCAGCAGAGACTGGGCACTTCACATTTCCATTTTCTCAGAGAGAACTTAGTGGAAGGTACAGACACACATGGTTGCATCAGACTGGTTGAATTCCAAGAGATTGCTGCTGAAAGATTCAGTTCAAGTTTCATGGTTTGAAGAATAAATGCTCTGAGAAACATGTGGCACACCTTGAGAAGCCTCCTCCCTCGCTCCTTTCAGGTTCCCTGCTGGGCTTTGCACATTCAAGGTTTCACACAAAAGCCAAGAGCATATTGCTGTGTGTTCAGGTCTTATAATTAAAAAGTGGGTTCAAGTGACACAACGGAGAAAATCTTGGACATAAATAATGCTGGCATCATTCACTTGGAAACCTTGGCAGTCAGAGTAAGTTCTCTCACCTCAAGACCCCATTTCACATTTCTAAAATCCTGCAGGAGGCAGTCTGCCCCACTGTTTGAAGGGTTATGATAACCGATTTTCCTGAGGTAAAAACTGTGAGTTCAACTCAAATGCAGCATTGGCGTCTTCACTGCTGGACTGTTCTCTCTGCAGTCCTTTCCAACTGGCTTTATTCAGCCCCACATGTCCAAGCATTGTCTGAGACAGCCTTGTGTCTGAAAACCTGGCCCACTCTGTAAATAAAGGCTCCACTAGGTAGGTCATAAAACCTTGAGAACATAAGAGAAAAAAGCTATTAATATATGCTTTGAAACTTACCTTAAAAAAAGTTATACAGTGTTAACCTAAGTTCTATTCCAATATTACCTAACTGGGGTTTGAACTCAGGGCCTTAGGCTTGCTAACCAGACTTGAGCCAGATCCCCCTGCCCTTTTTGCTTTAGTTGTTTGTCAGGTAGGGTCTCGTGTTCTTTGCCTGGGCCCATTTGGACCACAGTCCTCCTACATAAGCCTTCCTAACAGCTGGAATTACATGCATGTACTACCATGCCAGCTCTTTTCTTCTATGTGTATAATAGTGTACTTTGAACAAGTTCACTCCCTCTGTATTCTCTTAAACCTCTCACTCCTCCCGTCCCCATTTTTAAGTGTTTGGTAGATTTTGTTATCCTTTCTTCATATATATATGTAACAGACTTCTATGCTCTTTACCTCTCAGTACCCTCTCCTTTCATTTGCCCCCCTCCACAGATTCCCCCTAGTCCTTCAAATTCATGTCCCATTATTATCATCATCATTTTAAATATACATTCCAAATATAAGCAAAAAACATGGCTTTTTGAGCTTGGCTTATCTCAACATGAGGCTCCGGCTTTTGTTGTTGTTGAGATGGGGTCTAGCTAACTTTTGCCAGGACTGGGCTCAAACTATGATCCTCCTAATCTCTGCCTCCTAAGTATCTGGAAGAGTATACTACCCATTCACCTATCTTCAATTCCCTTTTGCCCATATTTCATCTATTATTTTGAATTTGTGTATCATTGTACTTAAGAATCAAAATAGAGCAGATTAACTTTCTAACTGTCTCATTATCTCCCCAAGAGAAAGCCATCCCTCTGCTAACCTCAGCTTTCTGGGCCCAGCACCCCTTCATACTCTTTTAGCCTGTGCTGCTTGCTCTCTTCTGCATCTTCTCTGCCTAGTCCTATGTACTCAAACCAGTCACTACCCACTGTCTTCCAAGTGAGGGTGCTTCACAATCACAACGTAAGAATTACATTTCTGATGTTACAGCATGGGCCTTTGAAGGCTCCAGAGCATTTATGCCATAGGATTATGCTATCTCCTGAATTTCTAGAAACCTTACCTTACTGAAGTTTGCGTACACATTTCACTATGTTTGACCTAATGTTTAAAGGTCCTACTCAACACCAGTCACCAAAATTACAACCCCTTTACACCTTCTTTTGCTACTTCTCCCTATCGTTTCCTACTTCACAATTAAACCCAAACTTAATCCTTCCTACGTTCTTTTGCAAGTTGCATTGTGTCAGTCACAGAACATGTTGTAGTTTCTGTAACAGTTATTAGTTCCCTCAACAGTTCTCAAGTGTCTCCTGCTTCCAGGTGCTAGGCTTCAGGAACACACACCAAAGGCAAGGTACAGCTATGAGAGACACCTATAGGCACTGGAAGCCTGGAAGATGAAGACTAACTGCCTGGATGGAGAAGGCAGAAGGCAGCTTGTGTAGGAGTTGACATTTGAGCTAGGTCTTCAAGAAAAGTCCATGAGGAAGACAGGAAGGACTGGCAGGGAACAAACAGAGGAAGGAGTCTTAACAAAGGGAAATGGCAGAATTTCTCAAATTATCTTAGAAAGTAAAAATGAACACAGTATTATTTTGTTTTCTTGAGATAGCCTCTTCAGTGCTTGGATTATAGGCATGTGCCACTTTGCATAGCTAAATGAACATAATTTTAATACCTTATATCTTGAATATATTTCTCCTCTTGACAAAATTAAAACGAATGGCATTTTTCTAACCAGCTGTATCTAAATGTGTATAGTTACCGATCTGGATGTTGGCAATAGATTCAGTCTGGCGATCACAAAGTGGACTCACGCCCAAATGATACTTTTTTTCTATATCTCCTGTAAATTTTAAAAAAGTGATAGTATTGTTAAAATGACTAAATGTGTGAATTCATCACACCTGTAATTACCTTAGAACACATATAATCCTCATAACATGACAGCTTCTCAATTAGCTCTGTTTAAGTTTGAAAACATAGGAAAGCTTGCCAATTTGGTTTCTTTTACAAAGCATTACCCCTAAGACTAATTCTGTCAGTATTTTAGTTTAAAACTTAGATTTTTAAAAGGAAAGGTAAAAGGAAGGTGCATAAAATGAAGATCCTTGGACTCTGGCTTTTAATCACACACAAAAATAATGTCTTATATGTACATAGGACCATTCTCCTACACAGGACAAAAAATGGTGTAAGTTCAGGGAAATCTTTCCGTATTGTAAAACTTCCAGCCTACTCTGTTTGTGCATGAATGCATATTTACATATCTAATCATTCCAAAAGAGGACTACTAAATTTCAAAAAAGATACTCAATATATTATTAATTGTAAGCTACTGTGGGTTATTGCTAAAAATCTTAAGCATCTACTGTGAGGCTCTTACAGATGGCTAAGTTCTTATTTTACTCATGGGATGCTAAACATGAACTGAACAGACTATCACCCAGCACTGTAACTTGCCTTGGTGGAAGAATTCCTCTGTTACTTTTTCACTCCATTGTTTACTTAATTCCCAGGTCCGACATGGGTTACAAATATCAGCACATTTCAAAGCCATCTAGCAAGCAAAATATTAAAACTGTGTTATGAAAAGCAAATCTTAACTGTACCAAATTTAAATACACTCTAATAATGGGAAAAAGAACACCTTCAAAAAAAAAAAATAGCTGGTGTGGAGCTCTGTGGGAGAACATGTGCTTAGCATGCATATGATCCTGGGTTCAATCCCCACAACCAAAGGGGATAAAAAGGAAAAAGAAATACTGCAACAGAAAATTCACTGTTTTTTATATTGATCATATTATGCTATTGAATCTGCCAATCATTTTTGGTCGGGGAGGGGGATCCTGCGGTTTAAACTCAGAGCCTTGGGGTTGCTAGGCAAACCGTTCCACCTCATAAGCCACATCCCCAGCCTTTTTGTAAGTTACTCTTCAGACAGAGTCTCTCTCACTTTTTACCATTCCATCATGATCCACCCAGAATCTATCTCCTAAGCGGCAGGATGTACCCAGCTCTAGTAATTACTTTTGATGAAATTCTGATGGAAATGCTGTAAGACTGCTAACTTGATAATCTCAAAGACCCAGCCATGACTGGATTAACCATAAAATATAAGTCAACTAGAAGGAAATCATCCTTCTATTTTCCATTTTCCAGATGTGAGAAGTCATTAAAATGCCATGTATTGATTATAATCTTGCAGAAGTTTTCTTTCTTTTTGGTGGTACTGGGATTTAAACTCAGGGCCTCACACTTGCTAGCCAGGCACGCTACCACTTGAGACACTCCACCAGCACTTTTTTATGTTGGGTGTTTTCAAGATAGGGTCTCAGGAACTGTTTGAGCTGGCTTTGAACTACGATCTTCCTGATCTCTGCCTCCTAATTAGCTAGGATTACAGGGTTGAGCCAATGGCACCTGGCTAGTTTTCACTTTATGGGATTGGGGCATAACTCAAGTGGTACAGCTCTTGTCTAGCAAGTCTGAGGCCCTGAGTTCAATTTCTAGTACTGAAAACAAAAAGCAAAGCCAAACCAAACCTAGTATTATTAGTGTTATGAAAGAAAATTTTGTGTATGCGAAGTGTCAAAGCAATGGTGCCTGCCAAGGCAGCCAACTGCCAGTGCTCTCCTTTTGGAAAGTGAGGGTGATAATCTAAGAAAACTTTCTAGCCCTGGAAAACTATGCTATAATATTTCATTTTTCTCTACTAGTTACATGATTTACACCAGAACCTTTCCAAGTTACATTTTACCTGTAAAACCAAATGTCTATGTCTGCCATCTTCTAGGCATAAGTCACCTCTATCCAAATGGGACCTAAATAATGACAGATACTCGTTCTGCCGACTGATGTCTGTGGCTAGTATCAAAGCACCTATCTGAGTCTCCATTTGTTGCCTGGAATTAGAGAAATATAAAGAAGAATGAGACATTCAATTAAACAATTCTTGATTTTTTTCTTTAAACTAATATTCAGAAAGCTTTACAGAGCCCTAAGATATTCTAATTGCCATTTAACTTAAAATTAATAGAAATGTATTTTAAAGAATGCAGTAAAAAATATTAAAAGTAAAACCAAGAGATTTGTAGGAAGTACTAGTATGCATACATTCCAAAAGGAGTGCTTTTTTTTTTTTCTTGGCCAGCTAAGGTGGAATTCTTTGCTTAAAGCAAAAAAATTAATATAACACTGGTATGCTGTTTGAGAAAACTCTTTGCCAGGATTCTCTACTGAAAAATTCTTGTGGTGTAAAGGTACACAACTTTGGTTTCTCTTTTGGAGTCTGCCATCTGAAAGGCAGAAGGAAGACTCAATTGGAGAGAACACTAGCCCATTCAACAACTGATCATTTTAGATATTTTGACTAAGATGCCTGATGAAATTCCAGCAGTTTATTAAAGTTTAGATTCAATACAATACCAGGGTCAAACACAAGAAGGAATCAGTTATCTGCATAAGTATATCTAAACTTTCTAGAAGGAAAAAAGGTAAGTGTTAATACAGATAGCAAACATATTGTTATATCATTTACAAAACTGCTTCATGTCAAATAACAAGAGAAATACACACACAGAAAAATCCCTGCCTTTTGTTTTAATAGGTCATAGCAAGTATATTGTTGTATTATGACCAGAAAAGAGTAATCAGATAGATTAAAACACTCACAATATTACACATTAATTAAAGCAAACCCTAAATGAAGAAAATATAAAAGAATGCTATTAAGTAGTACTCCTTCTTTTCAGTTTTTATTTTTTATTAAATCTAAGAATACAACAGGGTTAATCATGAAATAAAAGAAAGATGAAAAGGGAATAATGAAGCAAACATTTAAATCTGTCTTAACATTTTTTAGACATACAAATACTATATGGTTTATTTTTACATTTGCACTTCAGCAAGAAATTATTTACTTACCAAAAGTACTGTTATACTCCAAATGGTAATTGTGAATAAAGATTTTAAAAAATTTAAAAAGTACAGCTTTTTCCTTATAGTCATTACACAAAACACAGTTTTTTAAAAATAGTTTTAAGTATAAAAGAAAAAAGGAGAGAACATGGGGATAAATTTTAATTCCTGAGTACATGTTTTTGTACCTCACCATTTTTCTTGACTTGGATGATTTATACTCATTTGCCTGGTTCTCTGAAGTGCACGTTCCCTCAGTGTGGCATCAGAAAAAGGATTTTTTTTGGTGGGCTACACTAAGGCAGAGAGGTAAGCTATCCATCCTGTTAGGCTTTTTTACATTAATGGCTTTTATTAGACCCTTAAATGGCCTGCTTAACCTAAAATTACTTTTCCTAAAATACTATTTTCTGTTCTTTTCATTCATGTTTTGCCATACGGCTCCAGAAGTGACTCTAGGTTATGCTTTTGAATGAGAATGCTTTACTTTTTTATTGGTTTTGAACAATTCCTGAGACAGATTTTAGTGAATCTACTTATTATACAGAATGTTTATTTTCTATTCAATTTACCTTTATACCTAGACCTTAAGGCTTTATTCAGCTAAGTATAAAGTGGAAACATGTAATACCTACTTATATAAATAAGTATTGAACTGTGACTGAACCATTGTGTATTTGGAGTGAATTTTACAGTACTCAAATTCAAATTTTATAGTACTGAAATTATTCATAAAAAATATTCACTAAAATACTCTTGACTAAACTATAGAAGATATTTAAAAATTAAAATGTGATATACATTATTAAACTAAGATAATTTATCCACCCAATTTAACAAAAAAATGAAAATTATGGAACACCTAGACATCACAAATAACATAGCTTTTTTTGTGGGGGATACTGGAGTTTGAACTCCAGGCCTTGCACTTGTTAGGCAGGCCCTCTTATCACTTGAACCACTCTGGCAGCAGCCCATAACATTGTTTCGAAAACTTTATAAATTACTTTGTCAACTTAATTTCTATAGCTGAATAACAAATGGAAGGTCTTAAACCAACCTACCTGCTTTCCAACGGCAAATGTGAAAATAAACCAGATTCTCTCAATAAGCCCACTGCAGATCTCCAGTGGTGATTTTCCAGTACTGAGGTATTCTGCAAAAAGTAAGTTTCTTAGTTATTTTAATAGTGAGAATTACTTGTCAGTAATATTAACCTTGCTGAAATTCTGACATTCAATGAAAATTTATTTTCACGACTTTCATTTCTTTGAAAGATGAAGTACTTATTCTAGAATGCAAGTATTAAACTTTGATTGTGAAATTGCACTAACCTTGTATAAAGTTGCCAAGTAATGGTTAGTTTTAATAAGGAAAGGTTGATTAACACCTGGATGATCCAGATCATGAGTGGCAGCTGCAATTAAGCTCAGCAAGATATCCCAAGGAGTTACAGAATTGGCAAGCTGAAGTGTGACAAAAGAATAATTAATCACAAACATATATGAAATAAAGTCTACACCACTAGAACAATTTTGAATTAGCAGCCAGAAGTAGTGTTGAATCTTTTCCCCTTTCATGTCGATTTTTCAGGTGGACTATTAATGCCACCAAGTGCTTGCCAGGTTCTGGCCTCATCAAGACACTGTGGCAGGCATGACACAACAGTGTCCCTGCCTCCATAGTGGTCACAGAGCTCATCCTGATACTGCTTCATTTTTAACACATGTAACTAAAACGGCCACTTAAAGTAGAACTCATTCTTTTTGAGAAATAATGGCTTTAAAATGACAAAACGGTTTGTGTATTTTTATTATGGCAGCCATTATCAAACAGACCTGTAATTTTGAAGGTGTTTATGTATCAATAAATTTGCCTTTGAATTTCAATAATGTAATCTAGAATGCAAGGTTATTCTGTAATCCTAATGTTTAAGGAGGCTACTGAAGTCTATGTCAATCCTCTCCCAGTGGATGGATATATTTAGAACAATGTTCACAACACAGTCATGTCAAAAATGGAAACTAACAAACTAACAATTACAATTTTATTCTCAGCTGCTATTTCCAAACTTATTTTATGCAAGAAAATAATCATAATAAATAAATGATAAAATAACATTTTATCATTAGCTGACTAAAATTTTCAACAATAAAATAAGATCATATGGAGTCTTCTATTCTTGTGTCTCTCTTTTTCTGCAAACTTCTACTCTTCCTGTAAGGCCCAGTTCCACTGACCACCCTCCTTGTTCTCTCCTTCCAGCCCCACCTCCAGCAAAGGACTGACCTGTGTTCCTATAGCACCTGACATGTCCTACCACAAAACACTCATCTATGCACACTTTTGTTTATATTAGGTTAATGCTCCCTCAACTTTTGTGATTCTGTAACCTAACAGTGAAAATTTTTGAGTATATATCACTAGCATACATACACTTAATTAAAAATTATGATGCAGACCATATACTGCATATTATAAAGTAAAGATAAAAATTGAAAAAATTACCATATGAGGTAAAAATAGGTTTAGATTCAAATTCAATTACTTCCTTTCTGTGCTAGAATGTATCATCTTTTCTACCCTCTGTGTTAAGTTCATCTCAGTGAAAAAAAAATTACTGTGAGAGGCTAGAATCTCTTGGGAAACTAAACTATTTGAAGTTACACAATGTGCATTATTTTTGTGTTACATATAGTTGGTACACAGGAAGAACAATAAATAGGAAGAGGTGTGAAGAAAGTGATTTCCTCTTTATGATATGCAAACATGTTTTAGAAACAAACATTTTTAAAGCACTGTTTGCTAATCAAGATGAACAGAGAAGGTACAGTGCATATAAAGCAACCTTCCCTCATGACGCAAATGAGTGGGCATGCGGCACACATATAATGAACATGAAACTTATTAAGTGATAGTAAAAGCATTGTATACTTTAGCTTAAAAGTGGAAAGTGATAGAAAAATAGCTTTCATCCTGGGAGACTACAATAATACAGAGTTAGATTTATCAAAAAATAAATATACAACTACACAACTTCACAATCTCAGGTAAAGAGTCAGCCAATAAAAAGAGACACAAGAAGCAGCAATGGAGTTTTTAAAAGTCTTGTGAAAAAAAAGTTTGAAAACAAACCACATATGCAAAGTAGAAAGAAAGTGACTGTAAAAATGTAGCATTTCTGCTTATAAAAAAAACCATTAGAAAGAGAAGTTTATGAGTGTTATAAAGAAGAAGCTACAAATCACTTCATGTATAGGAAAGCCAGATTTCACTTATACCTGCAAAGCTATGTTTTCAATAAAATAAGAGAACTACTAAGCAGAGAGCTCCTCCCTTTGTTCAGTGAAACCCCACTGTTTTCATTGCTTGCTGGCATGATGCTGATTTCCCACTGTAATGGTTATTGTAAGTGTCTCAGTCATTTAATATAAGACTGACCAATTTCAAAATAATTTTAGCGGCTATGATGTCAAGAAACATAAGAAAGATAATGCATAACTGAAATTAAAATGGGAACAAAAGACTGGGAAAAATATTTTTTAGGACCCCACAAAGTCCTAAACAGACATTATCATAAAGAAAAAATATAAGGGGAAAATATTCTAAGCTCAAAACTAACTAAAAGAAGTGACTTCGTGATTTTTATTTTTGTATTTTTATTTTTTGCTAAATTGGCAAATCAAATATTTGTATCTGAGCTGGATGTGGTGGTGCATGCCTGTAATCCCAGCACTCTGGGGTAGGAGGGCTGTAAATTTAAGGTCAGCCTGGGCTACATCGCAAGACCTTATATAACAGATACTGATGCCAACAGATACTGATGACAAAAATTCCTGCCCTGGAAGTTGACATTCTTGTGGTTTCCACATTAGGCTTCAACATTTTCCACAACTTAAATTCAAGGTCAAATTCATACCTTATTCACATTTTGGAATCAGCAGCTACCATGTAACCTGATGTATACTCAGTATGTAAATAAATGTATACCTATAATGCCTATAAGAAAAGCAACTCAACCATTATCAGTTTTGCTGACATTGGGTAGGAGGAGGGAGAAGGCAAGCTGGTATGTCAACTGCCATGGACAATTAGAGCAAGACTTATTCAATATTCAAGTAGATTGTTTATGTCTAGAAATAAGTGTAATTTTTATCCAGGCATATCGTGAGTATACATATTAATTTAGTACACTGAGCCCTCCACACCCACAGGCTGGATATCTGCAGATCTAAATCTTGTATCTAAAATACCCACAAGCACAAGTACAGAACTGCATCTGTACTGAGCATGTATAGGCTTTTGTTTTGGTTGTCATTCCCTAAATAACACAATATAATAATTATATGCATAACATTCATATTATCATGTATTCATATGTATTAGGTATTATAATATTCCAGAGATGATTTAAAGACTATGGGAGGAGGATGTGCACAGGTTATATGCAAATACTATGCCTTCTTCTATAAGGGACTTGAGCATCAGTGGCGGTGGTGGGTGGGGGGGTGGTTACAGAACCAGTTTCCCATGGATATTGAGGGATGACTGTACAGTAACTAATTTGAACTCAAATGTAAACATGAGACTAATATTAAGATAGGAAATGGGAAAACTGCAACTTCCTGAGCTGATAGTTATGAATGTACCAGTATCAATAAATCAGAGAAACATTAGACTCAACTGAAATAAAATTCTATATAGACCATATAATTTCAGCCTTGAGGCAATGAAAAATACTTAACACAGACATGATGTATGTGCAGACAGAGGGTCCGTTTCCTAAATTTCTAGTAACTTCTCTGGATTGTAATATTTATTTTTTTACTTAGAAAAGAATAAAAGAATTAGCTCATTCATATAAATTGTAATAAAGACTAAAAACAAATTTCTCATTAAATATACTGACAATGAATGTATATTATTTTAAATCATTAAGTTTTGAGGCCAGTTGTTGGATCACAGGTATGCCTATACTCTTTCTAAAACATACACTGAAGAGCTAGTATTGCTTTTTTTTGAGATACAATTCGCAGGTCATGTAACTTACTTTATGTGTTTGTGTTACTATTTTCTCTGTACCTGGATTTTTCTATGGCTGACTCCTCAGTTTAAGTAGTTTCTGACCATTCTATCTAAAGTTGTAAACTGCCATCTACCCAATCACTCTCCAGCATACTCCTGTGTTTCCATTTCTTCATAGCAGAATTACTGCAAATATGTCAAAATTCTATGCATCCATTGTTTAATGACCACTTCATGAAGGCAGGCAATTTTCCTGCCTGGCTCCCCACTGCATTCCTAGCACCAGATTGTGCTCCAGGCAGCAGCTGTTCAGTGATATCTGTTAAATTAATGAATGAAAACTCTAAAACAGTGTTGTCAAGTGAAAGCCCAGGAAGTAAGAGATACGATCCTAAAGTTTCCAAACTTTTAAATTCAACTTTAAAGCTTTGAGTAACTTTATTTTTAAACGTGAACTGTGACAAGGGAGAGCACAGTTGTTACATGTAGGGTGCAATGATTTTACCTATATCCTTAACTGAAGCTTTGGCTAAACAGAATTAACTGAGTTTTTAATGATGATAAGTATTTAGAGTAAGTATTACCAGAGCTACAGAACTACTTAGGCAGAAAGTGTTTAATATCATGCTTGCATTCATCTTTCATCCATACATCTTCACCCTTCCCGACTTCCTAGTCCCTGGCTTTAGGGTTGTGTGGCCAGTGGGAGACAAGAGTGGAAGCCTCCACTGTCCACGTAAACTGTCCTTTGTGCCCCAGAACTTATCTTCATTGTCTCACTTTCCAGTCTGTATGGTGATTCCTTATCAATTTTTCCCATAAGAGTCTCAAACAAGTTTCAAGCACGGCCTACAGTTTTTTTTTTTTTTAATTTAAAACTTGAGATGGTTGGGAGTACTGGCTTATCAAAACTGCCCAGAAAACAGATACATTTTATTACTGTATGAAATTTATACCACCATAAAGATGATTTTTTTTAAAGTTATGATACATATATGAAAAAGATCAGGGCATTTTCACATATCCCATGATCTCTTAAAAGATCAGATGAGCTGGGTACCGGTGGCTCATGCCTATAATCCTAGCTACTTGGGAGGCAGAGATCAGGACAATTGTGGTTCAAAGCCAGCCTGGGCAAATAGTTCACGAGACCGTATCTCAAAAATACCAAAAGCAAAAAAAGGATTGGTAGAATGACTCAAGAGGTAGAGCACCTGCCCTAGCAAGCATGAGGCCCTGAGTTTAAACCCCAGTACTGCAAAAAACAACAACAACAACAAAAATACAACCTCTTATGAGGGCTGGAAACAGCTCAGTGGTAGAGTGCTTCCCAAGCATGTGCAAAGCCCTGGGTTTGATCCCAAACACTGTCAAAGTAAATATTAAATAAATAAGTATTAGATGACTGGCTTTGTTCTTGAGTTATCATCAACTGGCATAAGCCAGTTTAATCAGCCTGCTTCACTCCTAACATCTAGCCTGCTTCACTCCTAACATCTAGCTAGACAAAGATCCACGGAGAGAACAGTTATGAAGCAGTGCTAGGGGGACCTTCAGGATTAGAACATGTCCATGGACAGAGATGGCTATCAGTAACAGCTATTGCTAATGATTACAAATTCTATATTTCAACTGTGATTTCTCTTCTATACTTTGGACACTTAACCAATTCTCTAGTAGACATCTGTATTTGGATGCCCCACAAATACTTTAACTCCACATACCCAAAATGAAACTCATCTTCCTACCATCTACCGCCAATTTCACTACTCTTTCTACATTCCTCCTCTCATGGAAGAATTCCACATTCTATTCAACCACCCCAGTCAGTCTTCATTGACTTATCTCTTTCTTTCCTCAGGATGCATTCAAATGCCATGTCTGTTTCACTCTAACTTCCAAGACATGTTACAACGACATATTACACCACCTACTCCTTTCCCACTCCAAAGCCACCCCTGCTGCTCTCTTCTAAGGAGAAATGAAAGCTCCTGCTAGATAGTCATGGCTTCTAGTCTTGTTGGATT